GAAATATTTCCCCCTAGGCCTAGCCCCCCCCTAACCAAATGTCTAGTTGCGCGCCTGACAGGAAGGGCTTCATTGGTTATGGTATAGTAAGAAAATATAAGAGACACGTATCAATATCATTACAAAATACCTATTCACTTGTCTAAGACGTTTTTTTCGTATAATATAGATATGTATATATGTATATATTATATCAAATATAAATTAAATATAATCAATTAATCATACTTCATTGATACTACTATATAAATCAAAAATGAAAGTTTTAGTTAAAAACAATGTTCTTGAGTCCTCCCTATTCAAAATCTAATTATCAATTATAATTTTTCTCGTAGTTTTGATTTAATTTATCGATTCTTTTCGTAATTTCTAAATTGTCTCCCTTCCCGCGTAATTCCTTGGTCTGAACAATAGATATATGATGTAACTAGGCGAAATTACAATGGGTGTACATATGTGGACATCAAGCCCTGAGGCTCCCCTAGCTTCTCACAAATAAAAATTGTATCGTTAAATTTTCCCTGTGATTTACTCTCCTCTTGAAGCCGTGTGTCAAAATTAATCGGGTGTCTACAAAAAATATGAAAGGTTTACAAATAGTGTATTCGTTTATTTTTGGTATAGGAAGAAAAAGCTAAGATTAAGTAAAGTATTCTATATTTGTATATTTGTTGCTACTTGATTTTAAAAATGCGAGTATTATTAGATTATTTACAATAAACGTGGAAATAAAAGTCTCCATAAATGTTGAGGGGGTAAAGATGGTTTACCACATTTGGGAATTTCCAAAACTAAAAACTGGAATAGTACAAAAATTTTGTTTACTTAACAATGCCTCACAGATCAAAGACGACATAAATGTCGTCACTTTTATTGGGACACCCTGTATACTCATGTAATAGTGTGCGTGTGTCTGCGCGCATAACCTTAAACTTGAATCTAGTTTCGATCATATGGTACACTTAGTTATCTAATACTGCGTTCATTTGCTTGAGGTTTGACAGGCGCCACCCTGGTCCCCTAGCTAAGCGCCGGTTGGGCGCCGGACAAATTTTTAGTTAACGTTTAATCCTCTTTTGCAGAGGAGTTATACAAATGTGCATGATAAGGTGAATGTGATGTTCTTAAACTCTTTCTGCTTCAATATTTGAACATCAATATTGGAAATTAAAATTCAGGTACAGATCTTACACCACGTTGAACTAAAGTCTAGTGTGCGTTAAATTTAAATTTTTTGTGTTTTCAATCATGACTCCTCTCATGGAAGAGCTATTGTAAAGAACAAAAATGTTTTAAATTTCTGATTTGTAACCGGAGCTGAAATTTTTAGAATGGTGGATATTGAGATTAATGCTTGATCCTCTCTTTTTCTCAATATCGAGACTAACCTAATCTTGTACTTATATCCTGAAAAGTGATACAATTCAACCAATCACAGTCGCATATATGAAGCCGATAAATTTGAAATTTTGCGCGCCTTTAAGATTATATACAAAAGCGGGAGGGACTCTCAAACTTTAAAAAAACAGTTTTAAATTTTTCTCTATACTTTTATCCCAAAAAAAAGGTTTAAGAAGAAAATCAAAAGTTTGTCCATTGGATACTCAGATTAAGTAATTGCGATTAAGGATATCTCATTCTAAAGTTTTCAGCTCTGATTCAACTAGTTTTTTAAGCAGTGCATAACTAGAGTAGCTACAGGATCGTAAAGTTGTACCAGTATGTTGTACCAGTATGTACCAGTATGTACCACTATGTACCAGTATAAATGTTGCATAAATTTGACTTTCTCCATCTGTCTAGTTTGCAGTGACATAGCTTCACTATTAATAGTAATATTCAAATATTAAAATCTACCAAAAAATGACAAAATAACGAAAATTCTAATGGAAAAACATTGACGTTGGGAAAGTAAAAGTTTGTGAGATAATTCCATCACTCTGTCCTAACTTTAAACAAAACGGTCGTTTAATAAAAAATGCTATCGATAATTAGATTACTAAAAAATGTGAGATTTTTCAGCAGTGTATTTTCGAATAAAATGTAAAGGAAAATCTTAATGTGATACCCTGTAGTTATCCAATACACCTGCTTGTTTAGTAAATATCGGTTTTTTCTTTTATAAAAAAATGATATAAAAAATAAACTATTTATATTTGATGTAAAGTAGCTTGATTAAACTCAATAGAAGTAAGCTGAAGGTGAGGGTATAGCGTTTATGTACACGTTTTGCTGTAACATATGAGATCCAATAGGAATTAGCTTTGGCAAAATAATAACAAAGATTGTAAACACATGTAAAATATTCCTCGACTGTAGTTGTGAAATTACTGCCATTTCGATGTTTTAGTTTCTGTTCAGATTCTTTTAGGAAAAATACATTTGTAATTTTTCTGTAAACCTCTTTTGTTCTAGGAATTGTACAAAACAGTTAGAAGTAAAAATTACTGTTTCTATATTTACTTTACAAATGACATCATAAATGCTTGTATTTTTTACCAAAAACCTTTATAGCACATATGTAAGTTTTTTTTTGAAAACTTCAAATTTTTAGATAGCTAGAAATTTAATGTAAATAAATACAATGTTTTTCAAATAATTATTATTTCTAATTCTAATATGTATGGGAAGGGAAGGAGTAGGAAGGAATTTACAGTCCAGTTTACCAAGACCAAAAGTAGAAAGAGAAGAACAGGTAATAAAAAATAATATAAATAATTGCAATCCACATGATTGCAATTGCAATAGGCTTGATTGTAATTAAAATCTGCTTTATTGTAATTGCAATCTGCTTGATTGTAATTTCAATTTACTTAACGGTAATTGCAATCTGAGTGAGAGTAATTGAGAAATTTTCAATTTGAATATATATGTTGGAAATCCCGATATGTGCATTAAACATACTGACTCACTGAGTCAATATAGACCTAAAGGGAGTGTATGGTAGTTGAACTGAGGATTTAGTATTGTAGACAAATTGTTTAGGATTTATTTGAGACCTTTTAGACGTTTTTACGGTGCATATTTGTTCACAAAGAGTACAAATTCAATCTTTAAAATTCATTTGGAGGGAGTCGGGTTTTTAAAAATTCGACAGTAAACTAATAAGTTGTTCAGTAACAGATTGAAAAAAATAAAATTAACTCTTATCATCGAAAATAACTAATCTTATTCAGCTATTAGTACCTGTCATGTATCAGTGTTCACACAAATTTTCTGTAGATTTCCTGCAATTTATATTGAAAAGACGACATTTAAAGAATTTGAAGAAATCTATGAACAAATTTGTGAAGAAAAACAAATTCAAAATAGTGATGAAAAGGAAATAATTGATTCTAACATTGATTTATTGACAAATTTCTATTGATAAATATGTTCCTAAACATTCAATTTTTGTTACATTTTTCGTCGCATGGTTATTGAATGATTTTTTTAAAAAACTGATTCTCAAAATCATCTCGATCGAATGGACAATGAAGGATGATTTTTATGATTTATGACAAACCTAAATAATTTGTATAGTTTACTAAGAGAATATAATCATCAACCTGTGAAAGTCTATTATAAAATAATAAACTTGTGGTATCTTCTAGGCTTGTATTATTATTAACCTTTGTAGTCTACTTTAGTCTACCAGGCCTATAAAATGTCAACCTGTTGTCTACCAGGCCTATATAATGTCAACCTGTTGTCTACCAGGCCTATATAATGTAAAACCTGTTGTCTACCAGGCCTATATAATGTCAACCTGTTGTCTACCAGGCCTATATTATGTCAATCTATTGTCTACCAGGCCTATATAATGTCAATATCAAAATCAATTTTTGGAACATGAATAATAATTCCAAACAAATCTCATTTTTCTGTAATGTCTTATGAAAATTTACTTTTTTTGGCATCTTTTAACAGGCCCTTGTGTTTGCTCACTTTCACCGACGAAAAATAAAATAAAATTTTATTTTGGACTTTCTAGTTGTCTATCATAAGCTCTTGAAAGTACCTTTATAAATCGTAAATTACCCTGCATTTTAAGAAAGAGTCACTTAAAACTACGTTCATAGTCTCTTTAAAGTTCTAAATTTTGAAAACATTTGTATAGCCTTTAAAATTAATGGGACATTTAGAATTCTTCATCATTATAAAAGATAATTTCGTGTCATAATCAGTAGGGTAAATTGGTTAAGGGATGGGGGGGGAGGAGGTGGCAGAGAATTAGGAGGGGGAAGAGGGGGGGATTCAAGCTTGTAAATACCCAGAGCCAGCTTTAACTCGTATTGCAAATGTTAATGACGGTAATTTCATATGAAACTTTGCCTTAGGTTCAGTTGAGAAGACAAGCTATGGTTTATGTTGAAACTTGTTTAATGATCTATTCTTTCTTCTTTTAATCTTTTATGAATGCACTAGAGCAGGAACCCAGCTTTGACTGGAAACTAAGTTTTTTTTTTTACAAAAGTCGACCTACTCAACTTAAACTTTTAAACCATAGACTAAGAACATTTCCGTGGTTCTCCCGAGTTCCCCAATCAAAATTTGATGCAAATCGTCAAAGGGTTCATGAGTTATGATCGAAAATACAAACGAACCAACATAGATTACTACTTTATGTATATAGAAACTTGACTCAGATAGACCAAGGAAAATATACCATAAATCGTCATATCTTTGTCTAGTTGGTCTCAGATACACCAAATAAACCAGGAACCATCATATCTTTGTCTAGCTAGTCTCAGATAGGCCCAGGAACATAAACCAGGAACCATCATATCTTTGTCTAGCTAGTCTCAGATAGACCAAGGAAAATACACCACAAATCATCATATCTTTGTCTAGCTAGTCTTAGATAGACCCAGGAACTTAAACCAGAAACCATCATATCAAATTTGTCTAGCTAGTCTCAGATAGACCAAGGAACATAAACCAGGAACCACCATATCTTTGTTTAACTAGTCTCAGATAGACTAAGGAACATAAACCGAGGAACCATCATATCTTTGTCTAGCTAGTCTCAGATAGACCTAGGATCATAAACCAGGAACCATCATATCTTTGTCTAGCTAGTCTCAGATAGACCAAGGAAAATACACCATAAATCATCTTATCTTTGTCTAGCTAGTCTCAGATAGACCCAGGAACATAAACCAGAAACTATCATATCTTTGTCTAGCTAGACTATATAAACAAGAAACTTTTACCAGGAACCACCATGTGCATAATTGTCTCGCTAGACTCAGATAGACCCTGGAAAAAAAACCGGGAACTATCATACCTTTGTCAAACTAGACTAGATAAACAAGAAACATTTCCCAGGAACCACCATGTACATATTTGTCTAGATAGGCCGAGGAACGAAACCAGGAACCATCATTCTACATAAAAAGTGTACTGCAGTTTCTTGAAGTAATGTAAACAAACTAGTGCTGCTCAGTAAAGTTGTTTATATTTCCCCCGGAAGCAGTACACTTACCTTGTAAACAAATCTATGGGTTTCCTGGTTTAATTTCCTTGTGTTAGAATATTCAAGTACATTCATTGGTTTAAATACAATTATTTTCCTATTTGCCATTTTTACTCTTTACTCTTAACTGCTAAAACCTTAATGAACCATATTGTACCTATACTAGTTTATACTTAGTTAAATCATGTACTACTAACTTTCCCGTTGTTATACAGAGTTCTCCTCAAAAAAAATCAGACAATCGACCCAGGGATTCATGAGTTATGATCTGACAACCAAACATCAATCTATCCGTCTATCTATCTATCTATCTATCTATCTATCTCTCAATCCATCGATCTATCTATCTTATATCTAGCTGCGTGAGGTGAACGAGCTAAAGAAGGCCCTGAGTAGAACCAGACAGGAGCTCCTCAGGACTAAGGAGATTAACCGAAGTAGTAGTGATGAGGTAATGATTATATCAAACTGATAATTCGTCAGGGGTGTAAAGTTTTGAGTATTCTTGAAGGTCTGGGGTAAAAAATGAAAAAATTGGGCATATTTTCTTATATTCATCCATCCACTCTTCATTCATACTGAGAAGAGGGTTGACAAGATTCCAGCTGCCTAAAGGCTTCTTAGGCCTGAGAATAGTAAAGTGCAGGAATTCTTCTGATATACTGGAATGAGGCCCGGGTGCCGTACAGACAGGAAACATCACACTCATTGCTCCCAATCATTTGTAAGCCCGGATTGGATACATATAGGTACATTTAGCTGGCAACCATAGACTCTCCCTGCTTGTCCACCATTCCTCTCTTCGTCATCATTACTTGGCTCAATCCATTTCAAGCTTCTTTCTTGTTGAGTAGAAAGCACGCACCCTTTCGCTGCGAGAATTGTTGACAGCCGCCCCTCTGTCCTCCTAAATCAAAATAAATTATTATCTATTTAAATACTTTTCCCCTTATAACACATTTATTTTCGACAATTCAATTAATAAAACCTTGAAAAACATGGCTAAATTTTGGGGATAAAGATTTTAAAAAAGGTAGAGTCCGGAGGGGGAATTATTTTTCAAGAAACATACACCCATTCGTTTCAAATTGCAATTTTTCAACTTGATTGTGTAAACGATCGATGTTTTAAATTTAGATTAGCAAAATTGTTAGTTTGAAATATCAGATGGTTACGATATACGGTTGCAAAGATATATGTATTATAAAATTATAAATTAAAGAGTGTAATTAGTTCCATAAAATCTCCATAAATCTAGATATTTATAGAATTTCTATCGTCAGTAAAGTCAAATTGTTCCATTATAAAATTAAATCAATTATTTGTATGCGTTATTTGGTTTCATAAAACAATTTAAACATATCATCTTAAACACCAAAATTTTAAAAATACCATCTTAAACACAAAAATTTAAACATATAATCTTTAACACTAAAAAGTTAAACATATTAAGTTTGCTATTTTCTAATAGAAAAACTCTTCTACTAAATCATTCAAATCTTATCTTACTAAAAACTTGTTTTCAAACATTTCTTGAGTTCTAGTTTTGTAACAGTTCGGGAAAGGACAAAAGTAAAAAGAAAAACGTAAAGCTCTGATGAGATATTTTACCTTTCTTTACAATTCCCTTTTTTAACATACATTGACGCTGCAGTATATACCAGATATGCAGGGTCTACCACAAAGTATGAAACTAGAGAAAACTATCTGCTACTGCATCTGAAAACTTTTTTGCCAAATCATAAAAAAAGTCATTAGAAGATTAAATTTGTCGTCTTTACAGTCTCATCCTTTTTGGGTAACTCTATATGTTATAGGATGTCTTTTTCATTCCCTTGTATAGTCGTATGGCGGGGAGTGGAATAATGAATCCCCTGATGACCACAAAATATATTTTAAATGCCTCAGGACATTTTCACAATAAATTCAGATTCATTCATTGTTCATGTAATATCACTTATAAATCAAGTTTTCACGTAAACATGGAACATACAGAGCGTCCCATATCATATTAGATTATCTCCAATCTTTAACACCCAAATAAACCTTTAATACTCGAAAAACTTATCATTTTCCGCAAGAAAATCCTTATATAAGCCTTATATTATTTTTTCAAAATGATTCATTCTAATTAAATGTTCTAATTAGTCCCGAAAATCGTAATTTAGACCCATTCTCGGTCTAATATGATGTGGGACACCCTGTATTATTATGTATTTCTTTATAATTCACAGAAGTGTGCAATCTCAGACCCCTCCCACCTCCCTTTACCTCTCCTCCCCCCCCCACCCCTTCATTCTATGTACCGACGCGTGTGCTGCCTTTAATTAGCCAATTCTTGTCATTTATACTTTATAAATCATGTTTTATATAAAGATAAATATATATAAATGGCATTGAGCCGGGTTTATTTATGTTTTGAGAAATTTGTAATTTCCGGTTGCGCGGCTAATATTGAATAGACTGGGATATAATGTGTTCTTTACCTAGAAACCCCTGGGCAACTATAGCAAGGGGTAGACGGACGATTCAGGGGAAATGAAAGGGAAAGTATCAAGGTTAACGGAGTTTTAGAAGGAAAAGGGGGATATGGTGAGATACGATAAAAAAATTAATTGTCAAAGTAAACATTTTAATGTATATTCTGTGGTTTTATTCAATAATAACAATAAAAAACGACCAATTTCGTACCCTTGGTACCTTTGGTAGACCTGCACATTTCAAAATTGGCACACCGATATCTTCAGTTTGTAATCCGGGTAGCTTTTAGACTTTGTTACCGCGTAAAAGGGATCTGTGCGTTAATTTTTGTTAAAAATACCGCTACGAATTTGGGCACGAAGAGCCTCGAATTTCTAATTTACAATATTGTAGGAGGGAGGATTATGTGTGAAGGGAGGAATGTCAAGATCTGGCAGTTTATCAGGGTTACCAGGTAATAACATTTATCAGGGTTACCAGGTAATATCATTTTGTAATATTATTACTGAGACTTTGTTACCTCGTAAATCCTCAAGTTTTGATTTTGTGCACAGATATGAGAAAGAATTTATTTGGTTACATATTAGAAATTCAAAACATTTTTGTTCTTGTCAATAGATCTACGATACAAAAAGTTATGATAGAAAACATACGTGGAATTTACTTTAGTTTGACGTGATAGAATGCACAACTTGAGATTTAACACGCGGTGTTGTTAGGCTTTATTTATGCATTCAATCGTAAATTTAGTTTCCAGAATGTGTTTTTCAAATTACTGGACAAATTAAGAGCAGAGACCAAGAAAAAGCTGAAAGGACAATTTTTTTTTAGGGATTGGAGGTATGGGAAGTCGATCTGGAAGTATTAATGCTTTATCAAGCAAACCTAGCTTAAACAGGTATATATATATACATGAATAACTTTTTTACTGCATCTCAAACCGTAATTTTATCAATTATTAGTTAGAACTGTGTCCGAATTTAATGAATTTGAGCCACGTCTCAAATCTGCCAAAAACCGGTTTCAATAGAGCTCCGGCTTAAATCTTGAAACATTGAATACCATTTTAAGTGTAACCAACCATATTTGAGCCGCGTCTTAAATTTAAGCCGCGGCTCAAATTCTTTAAATTCTGCCTCTTATTCTTTAAATATTACAATACATAAATTCCGGAATTATTTCGGACCATTAGAATGTTGGTAACTTATTATTTTTAGCTTTTTATGATGCGAGTGTAACTTTTTATAAGTAATTCCTGCGTCTTCGAGGATTTTAAAAAGCGAAGACGATATTTTAATATTTAAAATTTTTTTTTGAAAATCCAGTTTCAGTCATAAAAACAAGCTGTCAACGAAACACAGGATAACAAATATTATGATATTTTAACTTCATTTAAATCCAGATTTATATATTGAATTATTTAAAGGATCTATAGAAATAACTGGATTATTTATGGTTTTCCCACTTTGAAATAAAAGTAAAACTAGTAGCAATCAAATTCAAATTTGATTCGGATTTAGACTATGTATCCCCTTTCAATTTTTTCGCAAACACTCCCTTTTAACATTTGTAATTAAAATGATTTTTATATTCAGTTTCCAACAGACTTGAAGCAAATTTGAAAATCATCTTTTGTGAAATTTTGCCGTTATTAGACGAAACATTGAAGAGATCTAAAGAGTAATTAAGTTTTATTATCCAATTAGGGGACGTGATTAATAAAACTCTAGCCATTGTCTACTGACTTGTGTAATTTTTTAAATACTTCAACCCGTACTTAAATACTTGAATTGCGTTACTTGTTATTGGGGGGGAGGGGGGGGGGGTTAGAATTTATTTTAATCTTATTCCTTTTATGAATTATTTATAATTTTTCGGGATTCGGGATTTTGGCACTGAAAATAAATCATAAATACTTAGTTAGTCTGAGTTATTATAATTGCTCCAGTTTCCATTTAACAACTATTTCAATGAAAACCCGGTTTGCGCAAAAATAAAATATTTTTTTAATTATAAAGTTTTTAAATTTTAAAAATGAAGTGAATTAATTATCTTTATCACATTACTCTCATTAAAGATGATTTAGTTTTACCGTATTTGGTCTGTTATACGTGTACTATACAGCTTGCTCTGGCTGCTTAAAAGTCGGTCCGACAATTCAGTAAACCGGAGTTTTAGTGATTGTTTTAAATAATTATAATTTCAGGGAGCTTGTGACGAAACTAAGGAGTATGACGGAAACGATAAAAATGTTGAGTTCTGAGAATGTTGCACTCAGGACGGAAAACGAGTCTCTGATCAGTGCTAGACCCGTCAATGGTAAGATGCTTATTCAAAAACACGGATTTAAAGGAACAGTTCACTTGCTTGGTTATGTTCAGAAGTCCGCGGCACAAAGATGTGACACCATTTTATAGACAATATTGTTAAGATATTTTTTTTTCAAAACTGTTGAATAAATTTTCTATTTTTTTTTTAAAATTATACTGAATAAACGTTGATTCTGCAGTTGCTAAACAAACGAGATTGTGTGTTTGTGCCGAACAGCTGAACGATAAATTGGCTCTTTCTCCGACCACAGTTATCGAAAAAACGTAAGACAAATGCTAATGAATATCGATATCTAATACGGTAATAAATCTCCCTGAAAATATGCAAATAAGTAAACGATCCTTTTAAACCAAGCATTTTGTACCTTCAGCATCAAATTCAATATCTTATCATGTGATATTAATATTTTTCGTTAAGTTAATCCTACTTTTCTGAAATCTGAATGAGACTAAAAGATAATCTGTTTTATAAAACTAGGCTTGATTACAGAATATAATTGTTATTAGAGCTAGAAACTGTAGACTAAATTTTTAAGCTTGGCTTATTCACTACGGATATATCTTATAAGCCTTCTTTTGATTAAGGTTTAACCCTTTAAAGCCTGGGGGGGGCGGCCACCCCCCCCCTCTCCCCCCTAGAATAAGGCTTTTATAGAGAATAGGTATAGGGTTGAAATGGATGTTCATAGCCCAAATTTTCAGGTCCAGCTCATTGAAAAAAAAATTATATCGATAACTTTTGTAGATTAGGTGCTAGGGAGGTTTGAAAAAAATGCAAAAAAAGGTCAAAAAAGGGCAAAACGATATTTTTTTGTTTAAAACAAATATCAAAGTGTGACACATGTTTCTACTTTTATTTTTCAAGGGCTTTTAAAAAATATAGTTTTTAGATCTGTAGCTTTAGTCATAAAAAGTGATGGGCTATTTTAGATTTTTTTACACCTATACATCTATGCATAAAAAAAAATTCTTTCACGGTGACAGTATCAAAAATGAGAGTGCTAGGGTAAAAAACTAAAGGGGGCGCCAAACGCCCCCCTCCCAGCCTGTTTAGGGTTAAAGAGTGAATCGGAAATACCCTATTTAAACTTTAAATTATGCCTACAGTCCCATTAATGTTAAGATCTGATGGGTAGAGAGGAGGAGATAGAACACCTTGTTAAATCCTACGAGAACCAACTAAAGGTAAATTATTTTCTCCAATTACTATTTTAGTTTTTCCTGTATAACCAGAATAAAACAAAATACAAGTCGCCATTGCTAGAAATTACGCAATAGATAAAATAATAAATATGTTTTCTCTTAAAAATCTGTGCAAAAAATGGCTGACAAATCTTTAAACCAGCGGTTGAAATCAAAAAAGTTTCTGAAAAATCTGAAAACCAGCGGTTGAAAGCAAAAAACTTGCTGAAAATCTTAAAACAGTTGAAAGCAAAAAAGTTGCTGAAAAATCTTGAAACCAGCGGTTGAAAGCAAAAAGTTGCTAAAAACATCTGAAAATCAGTGGTTGAAAGCAAACACGTTTTTCAAGAAAAATTATATTTCATTTGTTAAAAATGTGACAGAAAAAGTGCGATTTAGCGGTTGGACAAATTGTAAATTTAAGAAATAGGGGTATTTCTTATTCTGAACTGTGTAGAGTCTAGGCTAGATCTCAACCGCTCCTGCTGAGTTTTTTCTCTCCAAAGTATATATCATTCATAAAAAATCTGCATAAAAAACACAGTATAATTATTTGAGCATTTCTGTACGTATGTTGTTGTTAATGTTTGGTGATTTTCCGTTTTTGCCTGGGGTGTCCGGATCTTGTTGCTTATGAAATGGGACATTAACCCTATAAAGGCTGGGGGGTCTGAATCTATGTATAGCCTGGGGGGCGTTTGGCGGCCCCACCCCCTAGAAAAAAAACCTTAGAGAATAGGTATAGGTTTAGATGCATGTTCATAGCCCATTTTTTTATGGCCAGCTCAAAGAAAAAAAATAGACCGATAACTTATTAGTTTGGGTGCTAGGGAGGATGGAAAAAAATGCCAAAAAATGGGTCAAAAAAATAAAAAAAATATTTAATGTTAGAAACAAATATAAAAAAATCCTTTAAATTACTATTCATCAAAAGGGGGAGGGGGCGCCAAATGCCTGTTTAGGTTTAAAAGGTATGGTGCAAACCTAATTGCACGGGGCCATTCTAAAATGGGAAAGAAAGATAACATAAATTATTGCATTTAAAGATGTTTTGTATAGTTTCATAAATTAGACGACAGGTTTTAATTAATCCCATGTTATTTTTTTTTTTAAAGTCATCATAGTTTAATCCTTGTTTACTTGTTAGGAGTCGGAGCAGAAAATAAAGGAAATGGAGAAAGAATTAGAGAAAGCCAATGACAAGGATGGATCTATTGAGAAGACGACAGAAAAAGATAAATATAAGGCACTAGCAAGGTAATGATGATAATCCTGATAATGATGATAATGATGATAATGATGATAATGATGATAATGATGATAATGATGATAATGATGATAATGATGATAATGATGATGATGATAAAAATAATGATAATGATTTAGACGATTAAAGGAGGAGCGGAATACTTACAAGAATATAGTTGAGGAAAAAAAGCTGGAGCAAGATGAATTAAAGGTGAAGATTAAGTACTTCATTTACTTGTCCTTTGGGCCACAATTTTAGCCACATCGGTTCAGCCGTTTCAACTTTATTGGATAAAAATTTACCAGACGAGCCTGTCATGAATATATGTATAGAATAAATAGCTTCTGACTCACGTGGATTTAACGGTTCTGTAAATATTTCAGAAAGATGTGACTTTTGATCACAATTTGACCCCTTGTACATAATTTTATAGCCTTTTTCTGAAATAATTTTATATTTTGAATAAAAAAGTATAAAATAAATAAATCTGTAAGTTTAAAGAGTGTTGAATTATAGACCAAAACACGTTTGATTTCAAATAAAAGAAACCGAATGCTTCTCACTCCGGTTAGTTCTGGGTGGACTGGTTATATACTTACCTCGCACACAACACAGAATATTTACAGAACCGTTAAATCCACGTGGCACACGACACAATACAATTCAATTATTTGTTATAATTTGATTCCTTAAAAACGAGGAATTCTGAAAACTGTTCAATAACATATTTTTCAATTAATTGATCCGGGTTCATGAAGCAAATCTATTGCATCCGGCAATCCGTACTCGAGAATCTGAAAAAAGCCCTTTGTGTTTAGTTTTGCAAAACTAATTGTTTCTGCATTTTCCCTTTCATTGTCCTCATTGGCAAAATCTAGTCTTATATATAAATATGACAAACAAATTTCCATAGTTAAATGCAAAATTGGATCAATAGAAAAAACATTTGTTGAACTAGTTATTTTTTATAAAAATTTCATTCAATGTGGAAGCAGGGAAAATAGGGACAATAAAGAAAATTCTTGTTTCCTGGAAATAAACTGTTTGCATAATTTCAAGTGACACTCCAAAGATGGTAATGTCCGATTTACAACGGTACGCAACCTTAATATGATCAGAAATGTAAAACATTACGTATTTTTTTCATTCAAAAAATGTTTAGTTCAATGATATTTCCAACCTATCTTATAAATGCAAGAAATGCGCAAGTCACATTTTCAGAGAAATCACAAACGGAAATACCAGTTTTTAAATTCTAGTTTTTATCAGAAAAAACTTTTAAATCGGCCATTGTCATCATAAAGGGCCAATCGAATTTACGCTTACAGTCCCTTTAAAATTGAATTTGAATGTTTAGGTTGAGATTGAGAAGATGACAGATATTATTGGAGAACTGAGAAGAAACTGCGGCCAGGTAAAAAGAAGCAAAATGTTGTCGTCATTTTTTCGTCCTAAACCAAAGATCGGAAATGTGCTACATGCTTCCATGACATAGAGAAAAGAATTAATTACTTGCCACAAACACAAACTGTATATTTGTGCTAAAGCCAGGCAAAAAGAGGAAATATTCTATCTGCCTCCAAGCCATAAATCAGAATATTTTAATTTTAATTTTGTAGACCTTAAATATTTCAAACTGTACATTTTTCCTAGATTTAATAAGCAAAGTTTGAAACATGAAAGGTTTACACCTAGGGATGTTAACGTTTTCATTTTTCAGAAAAACGATCGTTTCGTTATGAAAACGACGACGAAAAATCGAAAACGAAACGATCGTTTTTAAAAACGATCGTTTTTTTAAAAAGTTCGTTTTTTAAAAATGGTTGTTTTTAAAACGATCGTTTTTCAAAACGCTCGTTTTTAAAAACGATCGTTTTTCAAAATAACCGTTTTTATAAAATTCGTCGTTTCGTTAACGATCGTTAACGACGACCCTTCGTTAACGATTAACGATCGTTAACGACGACCTTTTGTTAACGATCGTTAACGACGACCCTTCGTTAACGATCGTTAACGACGACCCTTCGTTAACGATCGTTAACATAATTGTCAATAAATTTTTTTTTCAAAAACGATCGTTTTTTCAAAAACGATCGTTTTTTTAAAAACAATCGTATAAAAAACGGTCGCAAATCGTTTTGATAAAAACGATCGTTTAAAAAAACGATCGCTATTCGTTTTCTAAAAGTTCAAAACGAGTGGGTCGTTTTTAAAAACGATCGTTTTTTTCCGAAAACGAAACGATCGTTTTTGAAAACGAAACAAAAAACGATCGTTTTCAAAAACGATTAACAACCCTATTTACACCATTAGGTTGCAGAAAAATAGAGATTCGAAAATTAAAGTTTGTGGCAAGTGTTCAGAATCTGTGAGATTTTTTCACAGTGGCAAAATTACCAAACATGATTGCCGTCTTTGATCTGTCTTCCAGACGCTTCGTTACGTTTTTTTTTCATTTTAACTAAATTACTTTTTAAAAAAATGGTGTACATTTAATATTCAAATATTAGCTACTCATTTAATGTCAGAGCTCAAGGAAAGAGAACATTGTTTATCTTTTAGCGCTGTATCATAGAATAATAATTAATTTAAGAAAATAATTCCAAGTTAAAACTAGATTCATTTTAATAAAAAATATATATATATTACGAGTACACGTGATCATATTAAGATCAAAATTAGCAATATCATATCAAATTTTCAATTAGAGCCTACGATATTTCTATCTTTAAAAAACATGATTAGTAATGCTAGAGGTCTAGAAACTTATTATTTATGTGAAGCAGATGTCTCTCAATAATAAATAAAGAACAAAACAGCATTTAAAACAGCATTTGTGTTAACAGTGTATTTGTCGTAAAAATAACCAAAGTATAAACTTCTGGAAAAACCAGAGAACTGATATCTCCTCATACTCTTGTTTTCTAATCTTAATGTCTTTCCAATATAATGTCGTAGTCAAAGTTTGACATTTCAAAGGTTTACACCATCAGGTTGCAAATATAAAGAAAATAGAATAGAATAGAGTTTTTATATTTAGCCAAGCCTGAAGAGTTAATGAAGAGTTAATGTCATTAAACCCTTAATGTTTCAATCTACCGGACTTTCCTATACTTTTTAGTAAAGGATATACGAGGTTTGATAGACTGAGCCGTAAAATCACCCAGAAGAAATTTTGCGCCTATACATTTTTCGAAATGTGTAATCTACAATCATTATTAGAGTTTGAACTTGAAGCGAGTGTTCTGTTCCATTATTATCTTTCATGTATTGCAAAGCAGATGAAAATACTCGATTCACAACGGTACCCTTGAAACCTTTATCTAATCAATAATGTCGTCTTCTAGGTTTAAACGTGCGTATTTCTGATCGAAAATAATTAAATTTACTTATTTAGACAAAGATTTTAAATCAGGCAGAGCCATTCTTGCATAAAGGGTTGATTGATCCCAGCCTTACAGTCCCCTTAGATAAGTTTTCCTGTTTTTAGTTGCAAGATGAGTTAGAGATAGTTTATGAACCGGGAGAAAGGAAGGATAAAGGAGTTCAAACCAGTCCTGCCCTCTCAAGAAGAGCCAGCTCAGGAGATATCAGGTTATACAGAGGGAATCATAAAACTGATAAACTCAGTTTTTGATTGAAATAGTTTAATGATCATGAAACACATAAGTGGTGTACTGTACACAGAATCATGTCACATTATAAGTTGATTTTCATGTATATCCCAATCAGCGGACAAGCCAGGCGGTGGATAAGGCGAAAATCAATTTTTAAATGAGTCAGCTTTTTTTGGAAAATATTTAAAAATACAACATTTTAAACACCTTGAAGACAACTAAACTTGAAACTGTCCTTTCACCCTTATGTAGTTAAAAACAAATAAATGACTTTCAAACTAGAAATCGGACTAACTTAAGCACTTAATTCATATTTCATATCATAAGCGGTCGTCTTCAAATTTTATATCAAAGTTTTTAACATTTAAAAAAGTAATAATGGAGGAATTAAGTGTTATTAGGGTTTTAGGGCGCTTCGTGCCACCCTTCCTATTTAAAATTCTCACTTTTTGATTTAGCTTATAATTATAAAGCAGTTTTTAATTGCTCTTTTTCTGTTTTAATTGGTAAATTTTCTATTAAAGTAAATATATAAATTTTTTCCTAGCATAATTTTCGGTTCAGCCGTTTTGGCGTTTATTGGATATAGACAGACAGACAAATTGGAAAGGGGGGGATTTCAACCATGTTGGATATGTTTTGTCGCAATAAACAATTTTCAATTAAATTCTCATTTTTTTATATTTTCTTAGAATCCGTGGACATGCTAAGAGATCACGATCTACTGTATCTCCGCAGTGTATATCAAGGCAACAGCAGCTGAATAAATCAATAGAACTTAGCAAACCTAAACCAAGGGGAGGAGTAAACCCTTCTCCAGGTTCAAATAGTACTCAAGGTCCTTCAGGAAAAGGCCCGAAGATTGCCAAGCCAGTGTCAAGGTACATTAAGGGAGTGACCAGCAATGTATGGTGGTCGAACTGAGTATGCAGTATTGTAAAACATCATTTAGAATTCATTTATGACGTATAAAACGTGTCCATGATAAATAATTACTGAGTTTGAGTGCAAAGTCGACGTTCAAAATCATGAATTTGGGTGGGTACGTTTTCAGAATCGACAAAAAAAAATATAGTAAAAATTCTAAAGTAAACTAATTTGATGTTTATGAACATATTTAAAAAAAAAAATTGCCAATAAATCAATGTTTGAATCAAATATTTCGTTTTCATCATTATATTGCATTTGTAATTTTCTGTAAATTTGTTCACAGATTACAAACAAATTTTTCTGATGTCGTCTTTTCAATAAAAATTCCAGAAAATCTGCAGAAAATCTTATTACTTGTTTTCGATGATAAGAGTTAATTTTTATTTTTTTTTATCAACATGTTTCTGAACAACTAATTAGCTTACTGTGGAATTTTGTTTACATTTTTTGTCGTCGTTATTCAATAATTAAAAAAAAAGATTTTGAAAACGTGCCCACCCAAATTCATGATTTTGAACGTCTACTTTGCACTCAAACTCAGTAATTATACATCATAGAAACGTTTTGTATGTCTCAAATGAATCCTAATAAATTTGTCCACAATACTACATATTCAGTTAAGTCACCATACATTGCCGGTCACTACCTTTTAAGGATGAAAACTAAAAAGGAAGTAATAGTTGAACATAATTACCTTTGGAAATGTATTCATAATTTGAAAAGAAAAAATTTAACCACTTTACATTGATTACCTCCTTTTTAAATGGTACCCTCATGAATATTAATAGCAAATATTAATGGAGGTTTGGACTTCCCTCTTTAATAATAGAGAAACCTCGGTGACTATAGATATACCTTTACAAAGCTGAGAAAATCCTTTCCCCCCCCTCCTCGCCCCCCCCCCTCTTACCAGCAATCATTGTATGTTGTCATTGTATCTTCCGCCTGCAATCACTAACGTCATTTGAAGACTTTCATTGACCATTGCTATGCCGACGACAATTTTAGTACACTAGATTCAGGAGTACTAATATTGTCCTGCAGACCGATATAATATGACCTGTAATCTTAGAGCTGGAATAAAGCCAGCATCTCCTGGTTCTAAAACCCCCTGCTCCAGTGCTCCAGGATCTACTCCACAGTCTCCCAGAGCCTCTAGAGTCCCTGGTTCTAGGACCCCAGGACCTAGTCCCTCAAAGATTCCAACTCCAAGTAAAACAACTTCAAAACTGCCAAAGGTAAATATTTTTTTACATCATGAACTATTTGAATGCTCGGTATTATTACAATAAAGCATTAGAGGTAAGATAATCTCCTAAATACATGGATATAAAGCTTAAGCCTCCAGAGACGATTGTTCCGAATTTATGCAGGCTTGTTTTTTACCCCCCCCCCCCCCCCCACCTATCGTGTTTTTGCGATAACTCGAAAAGTATTTGAGCTAGGGAGCTCGAACTTTCCGGCTTTTCTAACTAACACATCCCCCTCACTTAAGGCTAATACCTAGGCTTTCATACCTACTGCCTGATTCCTCAAACATACTGTCTAAATGCCTTATTTTCCATATATCAGATCAAATCTTTATTTAGACCTACTTTTCAGTCATTGGATTTAAACATTTTATAACTTTTTGGAAAGTCTATAACAAAAGCAGGCTGATTTCACAATTTTTGCAAAGAAATTTTGAACAGATTTTCGCACAGGCGCCTGTTAAAGGAATTTGCACATTTTAAGTTTTCAAAAATGTATAAATTGTTGCAAATTGCAAAATTTTCTTCTCCACTTTTTACTTTATAACTAGATTTCACAATAATTATTGGATTTCTTAAACAAATTTGCCATTTTTTTTGCATATTGTCGAAAGTTTCAGAAAGGGTTAGTTATAAATGATACCCGCCTTGAGTATGCCAACCATTATTATTTAAGATTTTACAAACCATATCAATAGCCTTTTCAAAATAGCAGCTAAAGTGCTCGGCGTTGGGCGTGGAATTTAAGAAAAATTAGATTAAAAAAAAAATTTTGAATTTTTTTTTGTTGACATTTTTAGCCAGTGTTACTCGCCGGGCACCCACGGGCCATGGATTCCTCAAAAGAAATTTTGCCCATTCGGTCCAGCCGTTTGACCAGCTATATAACATACAAACACATATAGGTTTATTAGCGAAGAGCTCATTATATAGATATTGTTACATGTTAAAAATATATTATTGTTTAAGTCTGAATCCAGCCAAAGTCTACTACAAAGACGAAGATTGGGTCGAATGTCGTCTTCCACGTCTGAAGATGATAGTTTCAACCAAATGGATGTTACCGAGGATTCATCACACAGCAGAAAATATTCAAGGTTCGTAAAAAGGTATTGTTAACAAATAAATCATACTACAAAAAGTTGTGGTAAAAAAAAATAGCAAAAATTGTGTTAATATTGATTTTGTCTTTTTGCTTATTAATAATTAAATAGCTCTCATGATAAAGGAGTATCTAAATATTTTTTTTTTTAAATTTAAATTCTTATCAAAATTTTAAACAGCATTGATTCGCAAAAACAAAGAGAAGCTCTGAATTGAAAAAGCTTCTCTTTTGTAAATTTGTAATTCGAGAAAAAGTTTGTTAAAAATTAAAAACGTACAGGGTGTCCCAATAAACATGGGAATTCAGTGACGAATAAGTCTTTTCAAATAATTCTTTGATTTAGTTTAGTGATACCTCTGAAAAAGCTGTATAATCCGTAAGATATTCGTCTGCTATGTTTAAAATTTGTTTGTTTATGTTTTGACTGCATACGGTTGTACTTAGTAAAACAAGAAAATTGCAATATACAAACAGAGTAAACTTTCTTGTTCACCTTGAAAAGACATTATAGACACATTTGTACAGCCATTCACCGTTTTTATCAAATAAACTCTAGCACACATAATAATATTTTGGCTTTTGAATCAGGTATTACAATGCTTTTTCATAACAAAGACAATATTGCATTCGTCACAGAATTCTCATGTTTATTGGGACACCCTGTAGTAAAAAAATTCGTCTTAATATTGATATAATCGCCTTCCACCACGCATGGCAATGGTATTTACTCAAAATTTCAAGAAATAATAATTGTGTTTTATAAATTGATATTTTTTGCATATCATGATTTGAAGTCGACTCCTCTTACATCTATACATTTTTAAAATTAAAAAATAGATTTTTATTTATTATTATGTCTGAAACCTAAACCGATGGACCAGAATATATATATATTTTAAATGTGAACACAATGTCTGCAGTCAACTTTGTCAAAATTTACGCAGAATTTTAAATTTAAATTTCCTGTCTTTCAGGGCCTACCAAAGTATGGAAATCTCTGAGCAATCTACGCACTCGGCGCTTCATCTAGATACAAATATCGAGCTCAAAATAATAGAAGGTTCTAATTTAATGTTTTCATAAATACTCAAACCTACACATCGTTATATTTTATCAAGAAATAGAACGCCACCGGTTCCAATTAGACTAAAAAAGAACGTAAACACATTAATTAACATCAGAGAGTTTTTGCTTAATAGTTTAATTATAAATTAATAATTTTCAAGAATAAAAAAATATGCAATTTAGAGATTTAATGAGTCAACTAGATAGTTTAATGTCAGCTGGGTCATGAAAATAATTCCATTGTTGATTAATGTGTTTTATTATATAATGGTTTCCATAGAATATACTGAAACACTTATCTATTTGACCTTGTGGAATATTCCGTAGGAAAATTATAATTGATAACAACTAATTTTCAAAAGTTTTCCATCAACAAATTATGACAAATTATCACTTAAAAATAATAATTGGATTTCTGAGATTGCGACATGGAAAAAAATTACGAAAGGCAAAATGTCTTCCTTTTTATTCAGCGAATATATAAAATTTCTATTTACACACACGTATTCGAAGTATTTCAGATAGTCTCATAATTGTTAGGCATTGTTTAGATTTCCGTTTATAAACAGACAAGGAGGGTTTTACTGTAAAGAATCTTCTCAAAAATCTTACATATTTATAATATTTAAAAATTGTATAGTGTGACCCAAACAACTTTGGAATGATTTAATAAATTTAATGTGTCATTCTGTTATGAATTTAATAGTTTTACCATTATCCTTAAAATCAATTTCTTATGTAAATTGGGTTTTTGTACACTGCACAATTGCTGTGTTTTATGCTTATTTGAATATTTGAAATAAAATCTGGAGTCTAAAGGTAATCTATATGTTCAATAAGTTAGCTATTATTTTAGATATCCAACCAAAAGTTTTTTTAAAAGACATATTTCTGAGGAAGTAAACATTAAAGATGTACTACAAAATGATGTTCATAATTATGAATAACGTTAATAATTTATGCTTTAGTGTTTTCAAATCTTTTAGTATGTTCTTGCTGATTTCTCATCAATGTTACAGATGTTGATAAAGAGAATCCTGTAACTGCAGAGGACAAAGAGAGGAATATGGAGGATGATGAGGTTGATGAGGATGTTGAGGAAGGAGAAGAATTCCCTGCTCCCCCACCCCCTGAAGATCTAGCTAAGCTGAGTATGGAAGCACAATTTAAGGTTTGAAATTCAATACAGAGATAATCAGCCCAATTTGCAAAAACAAACTTTTCTATGGAAACCTTTCTAAACTGGAGAAATTATAGAAAATTGCTGTTTAATACCGCTTTCAGGATAATGTTGATAATGCATGGATAGACGTCATTGAGTCAGGGTTAAAAATTTTGAGAAACTAAATTAATTTTTTTCATTTTTGGAACCATGTCAACGCTGTAAACGCTATTTACGTCAAATAGAAATCAACTGAATGAAAAAAAAATACAGTTTTTATTTTAATGACACTGGCAGTCAACAATTGGCAATCATATTTCATACATGGATTTTTTTTCTTTCTTAGTTAAAGAATGGTTACAGGCTAGATAGATTTGTTGTGGGAAAAAAATGTCATGCTAACCCCCCCCCCCATTTCGTTTCTTCTTTGTAAAAATTCTAATCTTTAAACAACGTACCCTCTATTGTTTTGTATTTTCTTTTGATATAAGTTGTTTTTGTCTTAACAATTAAATCAAGTGTTAATTAAATTTAAAATAATACACAAACAAGACCCTTTTGTACTATTATTTAATTAAATTAATTTACCAGAGTTTTCAACTCAACAAATTATTTTAGTTTTGTGGAGGATAAAAAGAATGACTAAAGAAATTATTCATTAAAAAAAATATTTATTGATTCTTTTTCATAGGTCGTATTTTTTGACTCTCCCTTTAAAAAAGGCCCATGCCGCCCGATACACTTTATATCTTTATCTAATCAATAATATGAAAAAAAAAACTACTTTTTTAACCTCAAATATTTAAAATCTAATAATTCCCTCAATTATTTTTAAAGAAAAATCATGAACATTTAACATTCTTTCATAACATTAACAAAGCCTTTAAGGGAATCGTTTTTAATTGGACCTGCAACCCTTTTATTATACAGGGTGTCCCACGAAACATGCCAGTTGGTGAATAGTTTAAAATGTCTTCTTTGACAAGATAATTTGATAAGTTGTTTGAAACTAAAGAGACTAATAACATTTTTTATATGACAGTTATATTATAAAAAAAATTGATTTCACAGTAAAATATATATGAGTTAAACATTTTTTCAAAAAAAAATTAACTGCAAAAAGTCTTTAATATCTAATACAGTATGTGGAAGAAGACATTAAAAACTATTCACCAACTGTCATGTTTAGTGGGACACCCTGTATCTTACAGAATGTTAAATATGATTTTGTCTGTAGATAGTTAGTGAAACAGTTGAAAGGGCTTGTGATAGGTTCGGACAAAATGAAGGTTAGTTTATTTTACAGTGAATATTTTTTTTTAAGTTTCATGTCTCCTTTCAGTGCTTTCAGTACTTAGATAATTGTCTGTTATTTAATTAAATTCACTGTTTTTTCTTCATGCAATAACAATTCTTTAAAATATCTAGGGATTTTTTGTTGTTGAATTCTCCTACAATAAACCTAAACTGTATTGTATATGAAAACACCTACAATAAACCTAAACTGTATTGTATATGAAAACACCTACAATAAACCTAAACTGTTTGTAAAGGTATTGAGCAGTACACTCCTAGTATATTGTATGTACATTTTACACTGTAAAGGTGTTGAGCAGTACACTCCTTGTATGTACATTTGACACTGTAAAGGTATTGAGCAGTACACTCCTTGTATGTACATTTGACACTGTAAAGGTATTGAGCAGTACACTCCTTGTATGTACATTTTACACTGTAAAGGTATTGAGCAGTTCACTCCTCGAACAACGAGAAAGGTTGACAGTTTCAAGGAAAAGCTGGCAGCAAGGAGAATTCAGAGAACTTGGAAACATTTTTATCAAGAGGTAAATTTTAAAAACTCTACAGGGTTACTCACAAAGGATTGGCCTTCAGAGACAATTGTACGGAATTTGTTTAGTTCCTTTTCTTACATTTAGGGTTCCCTGTAGGCCAAAACTGCTTTATTTCTGAGCTAAATCATCAGAATACTAAATTGAATGCAGAAACCAAAAATTAAGCACCAAATCGTCATATTTTTAGAGTTTTCAGCCATCTTTACAGTCTCATATTTTGTGAGTAACCCTGTATAAAAAACTTAATTATTACCAAGAGATGAGTATAAGATGAGTATAACAAACAAAAAAACTTCATTTTATTGGCGATAATGGAGGTACAATCAAAGGTTAGGTTACCAAAATTGTTTTAAAATGGATTCATGTAATCCTAATATTAAGAAACGCAGCCCAATTTTATGACATCAGATCAAATTACAAAAATACTATAAATCAACAAAAAAAAAGTTGTTGTAAATTTTTCTTTTCAGTTAGAGGAGAAGAAAGCTGAAGATGAGAATTCGTTTTCCAGTCTTCCAATCCTTCTAAACCCTGAACCCAGACCTCCTGTTCTTCCAAACCCTGACCTCCTCTACTCCGAACTTCAAGAGGTCAAGAATAAAGCGACCTCTGAACACCAGAGGTTGTTTGATGAGGAGGAGGCCAGAGATTCATCAGTTTCCTCAATCCAGGTATTTAACCCCCCCCCCCACTCCGGCACCTTGTGCTGATTTTAATCCTTACATCTTTCCAATCCAATGTCGTACAGATCTTTGATATTTCAAACTAAGAATTCTGTCAGATCAAATAATCTAAGTTTGAAATATCAAAGGTTTACATCGTCGGGTTGAAAGATATAGGGTTCAGAAAATTAAGTTTCTGATAAAAACTAAGTTTTTTGAAAAAATTAACTTTCTTAAAAGGAATTGAGTCTTTGCCACAAACTCTGATTATCTAATCCCTATATCTTAGCAACCCGTTGTCGTACACCCTAAATAGTTCAATCTATGGATAATGTAATTTAAGTATAAATATATCAATGTTTCGCAAAGATTTAATTCCTTTAAGTTTTCTAATGCCTATATCTTTGGAGCCTGATTGTTTATCAAAATTCAAAGTTTAAAATATCAAAGATCTACCACATCACATCAGGTTGCCAAGATATAGAAATTAGAAAATCTGAGATTGTTGCAAAAATTCAGTTTTTTTGTTGTAGCTTTTTAATTTGAACTGTTTAAGGCTGCTATTCTGGGACAAGAGTTGAGATCTAGAGGATTATCTTTTCTTAGGGAAGGATCTTTCTCTAATATGAAGACCAGGGGAGGGATATATACTGCTAGGTAATTAAGTGTCTAATATGAAGACCAGGGGAGGGATATATACTGCTAGGTAAGTGCCTAATATGAAGACCAGGAGAGGGATATATACTGCTAGGTAAGTCTCTAATATGAAGACCAGGAGAGGGATATATACTGCTAGGTAAGTGTCTAATATGGAGACCAGGGGAGGGATATATACTGCTAGGTAAGTGTCTAATATGGAGACCAGGGGAGGGATATATACTGCTAGGTAAGTGTCTAATATGAAGACCAGGGGAGGGATATATACTGCTAGGTAAGTGTTTAATATGAAGACCAGGAGAGGGATATATACTGCTAGGTAAGTGTCTAATATGAAGACCAGGGAGGGATATATACTGCTAGGTAAGTCTCACAATTCCTGGGAACAGCTTTTAGCAAGGGTGTATATTTTCAATTTGAATTTTGAATTTTTTTGGGTGAAAAATTTAATAATTGGATATCAAAAGTTAACTTTTTTCAGTTTTTTTAACTTGTAATCCAAAAATTTATTGAATTTTCTTTAAAAATCTTTTAGTTGCCTCAATTTAGAGAATAATAATAAAAAATGCACATATATTTTTTGGGAAAAAACAATAATTTAAAAAAAAATGGGAGGGGGAAATAAAATTTATTTTTATGAGAAAATATTCACCCCTGGCTTTCAGTTGAAGAAAGTACAGAGATTAAGACAGCTAAAAAAGTGCATCAGTTTTCAAGGCCATGCGTCAAGATTTTGATTTTTGTTTGATTTTTGTTTGAAAATACATTGAGTCTTTGCCAGAAACTCTGATTTATAATCCCTATATCTTTTCAACCCAATATCGTAGATCTTAGATATTTCAAACTATGAATTATGTTAGATCAAATAATATAAGTTTGAAATATCAAATGTTTACACCATCAAGTTGCAAAGATATAGGAATTAGAAAATTTGAGTTTGTGTCAAAGGCTCAATTCCTTTGAATTTTATTAAACAGTGAACTTTTTATCATTGAAACAAAGTATTAAATATTTCAAAAATTTATAACACTTTATACAAATTCATGAAACAAATGTTGTTGGTCAGGCCTTGGATGATAACCAGTGAGTCAGAAAGCGAGGAAGACGACATCCAGACAATACAGGTTAAAAATTAGACTGATCACTCGTCTGCAAATCTTATTTTCTAATCTCTATACTTTTCTTGTTTATTTGTGCCCAATACACGTGAAACAGCTGAACCGATCAAACGCAATATTTTTGAGTCAACTTACGTGGCCGAAGGGTTAAGAACTTTCCACACAATGTCTCAGACCTTAGATATTTAACTTTTTAACTTTTTAACTACGAATTCTGTTACATTCTGTAAAGTTTGAAATATTAGATTATACAATAAGGTTGTGATTAGAAAATATAATTTGTGGAAGGAACTCAGCTCCTTAAAATATGAAAAAATTAATCATGTATGATAAAAAACATTTTTTTTGGTATCTGCACTTAGGACCAGAGAAGAAACCTCATCATAAAAAATTTGTTTTACAGTTCAGCTTCAATAATAAATTATTTATTTTTTATTTTTAGCTTACACATTTTTGTTTTGTTTTAGAATATAAATCTCTGACGAAAATATTAACAATCAATATTAGTTTTATTTTTCATTTTAAGTATTGTATTCTTAAATTTACGCATTTATGAAAATATGCGCCAAATATTTAAAACCGGTTCAATCCAATATTGTTTTCAAAAATATTGAAATTTAGAGTCGTATAAAATTTCGTTAGAACTCATGAGTTTTAAAAATATATTTACGTTTTCTATAAAATCCCGTATTTAGGTATTCAATAGGTTAACATGTAATAAATACCGTAGCAGATCCCATAGTTGCACCTCATAGATCAATTACGTTGAACATTGTCCGTAAATCTTAATGCGCTTATCAGAAACTACGCAAATCTTGGCTTGCGATTAACCTAACCTAGATACTTCTATAAATAAGTACATCGAACATATATTGTGATTAGCTTAACTACTTTTGTATATAACGGCGCAAAACTTGTAATTACGTCTTTTAAACTTAATCGTTAACCTTAAACCCAAAATACACTGAGTTGGAATAGACTCTTGGAAGATTACCAAGTTAGAGAAATTGTTCCTTGTTCAGCGAACGAGAAACGTCCCAAAATTACTTTGTAAAGATAGACACAGATTGGGCATTGTCTAGATACATCCCGTCCAAGTTGAGACATTATAGTTTATGGTTTACATATCGTGTCAGTGTTGACATTGATAGTTTATAGTTTAGAGATCGTGTCCGTATTGACATTGATAGTTTATGGTTTAGAGATTGTGTTCGTGTTGACATTGATAGTTTATGGTTTAGAGATTGTGTCCGTATTGACATTGATAGTTTATGGTTTAGAGATCGTGTCCGTATTGACATTGATAGTTTATGGTTTAGAGATCGTGTCCGTATTGACATTGATAGTTTATAGTTTAGAGATCGTGTCCGTATTGACATTGATAGTTTATGGTTTAGAGATTGTGTCCGTATTGACATTGATAGTTTATAGTTTAGAGATCGTGTCCGTATTGACATTGATAGTTTATGGTTTACATATTGTGTCAGTGTTGACATTGGTAGTTTATGGTTCTGAGATCGTGTCCGTATTGACAAAGATAGTTTATGGTTTAGAGATCGTGTCCGGATTGACATTTATAGTAAAGTGTTATTGAATTGATTAGTTCTTATGCCTCGTAGACCAACGAGAGGGATTGAGTTGTACCTGGATTGATCCGGGTCTGGGAGACTTTTATGGAGTAGGGCATTTACCACAAACAGTTCAATGTACTTGAATTGCGGATTTTTTCGCCGGTTTTAAATGCTTCTAATTAAGACACCCTGTTGAAAGTTAAAGAAAAATACTCTCCAAATATACCTTCTCTTTTTTGATTTAGCGCAAAATTAACTTATGGTTTAGTGTAATGGACCCTCAGAAACTAGTTTTTTAGCCACTTTAGTCTTTTTTATTTTATTTTAATATCAGTTTTATCAGTTTAACCATATTCTGCTGAAACATGTTCAACTGATTACAAGTTTCAATCATTCGGAGAAGACAAGAATGTAAATAACGCACATGTTTTTGCTGTTGCTTTTTTTACCGGTAAAATTGTACACTAGAACTTGAAGTATATTTCTCAAAAGGTGTATTCGGTATTGAAGTATTAACAACGGAATTGTGTTTTTAACCTAAAAAATATTTTGTAAAAATATATATTTTTTTCTAGGGAATAGTTCGCTCACATTCTTTCCGACTTGGCACAATCAACGAGGGGGATGTGTTTAGACCTGGCAAGGTACAATTTTAAGGAATTGTTAACTTATTTAAAAAAACTTTAAATACCCTTATTTTGGGGATTAAAGACACATCTAAGTATTCCTTATATTTGCTGAAAGATGTGTATTTTGGCGAGAGGGAAAGAATCCCTTTTATTAAAAAAGATGATGAGGATATTAATCAAAATAAGTAGAATTTAAGGAAGAGATATCATTTTGGTGAAAAGAGATTTACTTTTTCTAATTTAATCCTTTACTTCTATAGAGTTCCCATTTAATCCTTTACTTCTATAGGGTTCCTAGATTTATACAGGGTCAGCCAATTTTTAAAAAAATATTAGTAGGGTAATCAAGGAACTTCAATACTCGCCTCTAAATGTAATTTAAATTATTAAAAAAATAAATTATAATATTTTCATTTTATTTTATTTAACGCCTATGATAGAAATAATGAATTTGAACTGCAGTCTACCTACGACCGGTTCAAATTTGAATCACCAATTTAAATCCTTCCTTAATCTTTAACTTTGAATCGGTGGTACAAATTTGAACCGACAGTGATTGGTTTAGCGACGTAGCTCAAATTCATTAAATTCGGTCCCCAATGGTTAAAATCAATTAAATTTCAAACTCTTGAATTTTTGATTACTTGATCTGTCAGAATTCAAAATATCAAAATATCAAAAGTCAGGTTGAAAAAATACACAACCTCGAAAATTACATCTTGAGACAAGTATTGTAATCTTCTAAATAATCAAATTTCAGTTTTTGGCAAGTCATTGATCTCTTTCGAGGCTTCCGAAAATGTAAAAAAAAAGATTTTTTATTTGAAAATTTGAAAATGACCAAAATATTTAAAAAGGTTCGAATATTACATCGTCAATACATTCAAATATCAAACTTTGCTATAAAGGGTCTGCAATAATTTGTTTTTGTAAAAATTCAATTTTATTGAATATCTCATAAATGTCCAAAATTAAACGACTTTATTTAAACCTTTAAGGACAAATTTAGCAAGTATTTTGTTTTTGGAAATAATTAAATGATTTTTCAACAAATACTCAAAAATGTTTAAAACAGATTTTTTAAGAGGCTGGTTTTTATTTTAATTAAACTTTAATAAAATGGAATAATTTCTATCTACTTTTACTCCTACATCGAACTTTAATTTGCTAATCTCTATATCTTTGGACCCTGATGTTGCAGACCTTTAATATTTCAAACTACGAATTGTGATGGATTAAATGGAGCTTGAAATAGCAAAAGTGTAACTATCAGGTTTCAAACTTCTAGGGTTTGGACAATTGTAATTTTGGGCAAGTGTACAGTCCTCTTAAATTAAGTTTAATTAAAGGGACTATATGCGTAATTTCAAGTGACCTTTCATTTAAAGAGAACTATTCCTGATTCACAATGGTACCCTTCAAAGCTTTGACTGATGAAAGATGTCGGACATATCTATATGCATGCATCTACTCAAACTGAAATATAAAAAGCTACCTTCTCAAAGGGACTGAAAAAGAATTTGTTTTTAAATCATTGAAAGCCGCTTTTAATGTAAAACATGTTTTTCGATACTTTGAGATAATTGCATAATTAACGATCTGTTAAGCTGCGTTGAGGTTAAGCTCTGTTAACAGGTTTTACAGATCTTTCTACGAGATAAACAGACTAATTGTTACAAGGATAATCGGGCATTACCCTTATTGCACAGAGGGTCACTTGAAATTACACATACAGTCCCTTGAAGTTTGTTGAATTAATGAATTAATAAACTATATTTGTTTAAGGTGAGATCTATTAGAGAGAAGTTTACCCGTGAATCTCCTGATGGAGAAAGTGACAATATTTTAACTGGAAGATAAAATTTTAAATTTGTAAACTTGTAAAAAAGAAATTGAATCTTTGGCACAACCTGATAATGTAAACCTTTGGTATTTCAAATCAAATTTTTCTAATAGAACTCACAGTATGAAATATCTAAGGTATACGGCATTGGGATATATGGAATAGAAAGTGTTTGGCAAAGACTCAATTCCTTGAGTTAACCATAAACAAGCGGGGGGGGGGGGGGCGCTAGATGTCCCCCTCTAATTTGTTTGTCTCATTTTTGTTGTGTTGGAACAGGGTGCTTAAGAGTCCGGTCTGTGTTCAAAAAAATTTTAAATAGCCCATATTTTTTTTGTGATTAAAGCTACAGATCCCCTTGAAAAATAGATATAGAAACATTTGTCACGCTTCAATATTTGTTTAATACAAAAAAAGTATTTTTACTTTTTTGATAATTTTTTTGCCATTCTTTTCAACCCTCCCTAACACCCAAACTATTAAAGTTATCAGTCTAATTTCTTTTTCAATGAGCTGGCCTTAAAAAAGTATGTATAATAACAAAGAAAAAAAATTAAAATAACTTAGCACTAATTGATAAAAAGCCAATTTTTATATTTATTCTAACTTTATTAAACAAAACAAGAAAACTTTCATACATGATTGATTACACCCACAACTATCTGTTTCCTTATATTCACATTGCCCTGTATTTTTAAACTTCTTTCTTTCTTTGCAAAATCAATAAAAACGACATTAAAAAACTATATTCAAAGCAGAACACATAATTTAACATTGAAATCGTCTTATCTAAAGAGTTTCAGTCTCACTCTCATTTTATCACCCTGTAGTAATTTATAAAACATTTTTCCACTTGGAAGAAAGTGAAATAACTTTGCACGTTGCAATTTCAGTCAACGATATTATTTATTGAAAATCTGAAATGTTAAATGTAAATGTAAGATTTCGAAAATCTGTTTAAGGATGATTATTCTTGACATTTAAAACAAAATTCTAAAAACAAAGTTCAGTGAAGTTTAAAGTATTTTTGTAACTCCTGTATTCAACCGTGTCGCTCAGCGATTCGATATAATTTCGAAACCTGTAAAATCCATTTAAATGCTTTTTTCAACACGCTCGGATTTTGGATTCTAAGAGAAAAGTTTAAATAAAAAAATCCAACCAAATTAAAACTAAACATTGCCTCAAACTTTATGTTTCTAATCAATGTATTTTTATTATTAGATTTCATAAATATTTAAAGTAAAATCTCAAAGGTTGATACAATATGGATTAAAACAATACAGTTATTTTTCTATTAATTTTACTAGATTTCATAAAAGAAATGATTAAGTAAACAATGTCCTTCCACCTTGAATCATATATATTTTACAAAAATGTACCTTAATGCCAAAAATAACTCCATTTTCGCCTGCATTATGATAAAAATGTTATCAAATATTTTTCTGTTTGATTTTAAACTCATGTAAAAATACAAAATCATTTTTTAGTGAAAATAAAAGCCTTTTCTATCCGCTACAAAACTATGCCTTATCTTGCACGCTAATTATGTACAAAAACACGCTTTTGCTTTCCAAAAATACTATCTTACACATGTGTAAAGGATTGGGTCTCTTAACTTGTCTGTACAATTACACAAGACAAAAAAGGTATCGTTTTCTTTAATTTATATATTTATGCATACTTTTTTATAATATTATATTGTTGTAATAATATTTTACACTTAAAAAAAATATATTTTGTTTTATACTTTTTTTATGAAAAGATTTACTAAAAGGAGACAGATTATTGCATGAACGATGGTGTGTGCAGTGTGCACTGGTCACTGTGGTTCCTCATCCGAATTAAAGATTCTACAAAAAAAAAACAGTTAGATATAATGTCTATTTGATGCTATAAAATTTAGATAATTAGAGTGATCATCTTTAATATATATATATGCATCTTAATTTATTCTTAAAAATTATAATTTTACTGATCAAATGGAAGCAAAGTTTGATTATACAATACATTCAATGCGAACGCATTTATTAATTTGTTATGTATTAGTACTGTGAGAGAAAATCAAAAAATATTATTTCACCATTCAAAGAGAAGTTAGTTTGCAATTCGTTTGAATTAAAAACTTCAATTAATGATTTTTAAGATTTATTACTTTTTACTCTTATTTTCCCATTCTTCTTAACATTTCTTCTTTTCCTTCTTTTACCAGGAGGGAACATGAGATTGAAATTGTTCCCAACATTTTGGTTCAAATTCGTCACAACGTTGTTGTTGTTCCCCAGATTGAGGTTAACCAGGTTGTTGTTGTTGTTGTTTGCATTAATGTTGTTGTTGATATTCAAAACTACAAACAAGTATAAGTATATAGTTTATCTAATTTCTTTTAATGTCATTTAAAGCTATAAACTAAAGCTGTACCTAAAGTTATAATCGCTGCTACAAAGGACATGTAACTGAGTGAGTTGCTTCCACTTGCAATTCCAGAACTTTGAACGTTTTTGCACTTCTATCCAACAACAAAATGAAGCAAAATGTTGAAAATTATTAAGTTTTTTAATGTCAAGAAACTTCATGATTTAAAACAGAAAATACGCAATTTGAAATCATAAAATCTGCCAATTGTTAAAATGCTTGAACTTGGAGTAGAGGTTGGGGATGTTGTCAGCATTCTTCTAGGAGTAGCTTTAACAACTTCGCTTTTTCATGTAAGTATTCAAGGCTTTAAGTTTACACTATTGCGTTGAAAAATATTTTTGATTTGAACTTTTTAAGGCTTATAGGGTCTGGTGGACAGTGCACGAGGAAGGCCCAACTGAGCCCTTCGGAAATCATGCAGATATAGATCCTGATGAGGTTAATAATCATTTTTTTAATTGAAATTTAATTACTTTATTATGATAATGTTACTTTTAAGGTGGATGAGGCTTATGAAAATGTGATTCTCTGTGACTCTATTATTGCTGGAGAATACTTTCTTGTAAAAACAAATAATTACAGAGAATTCCTTAAACATATGGACTCATCGTAAGAAAATTTACAAAATTAATACAAAATTGAAAATTTCTGTTTTATTAAATATTTTCAGGTTTTTTGGAACATGTTTTCTACCGATTGTGAACACAACACTACAAATGGAAAAGACGGTAATAGATGCATAGTATTTTACTAGACACCATTTTATATTTTTAATCTTATTGATCTAGGGTGAAGCAAGATGGAAATATATTCAGGCCTTTAAAGGAGTAACGTAAGAATTTTAGATAGTTTCCAAAAGTCGTAGTATTTTGAATGTTTAAGATATGATATGGCAAAGAAAGCAAAGCTAAAGGGAACTATAGGCGTAAAAAGAATTCTGAACACTTTTCCTATCAGTCGTCTCAGAAGTCTCATTCTTTGCGGGTAACTCAGTATATCTAGTGATAACCAGAAAACTCTGAAGTGAGAAGACGACTTTATGGCAATACTGAATTGCTGTTTCAAAGCAAATAGTTTTACAAGACACTTATTAAGTCACTAAGTGAAATGGATTTGTTTACAGTGCACAATTGCTGTGTCCCATACTCATTCAAGTCATAACTTAAATTTAAAGGCATCTTCCTAGTTCAGACTTTTCTGGTTATCACTGTATACGCATCTTTCGAAGAAATATCGAAGAGCCAGAATCATATGATTTCGATAATGTGAACATTTTGTTAAAATATGAAAACATATTTTCTTCATTTATATAATTCTCACAGCAATTTTTCTAAAAACTTATATTTATGAACTTAATTGTTTTTGATTTATTCCAAAAAGTTTGAAAAAAATGTTTTTAGTTTTAAAATGTTTTGGTTATCGAAATTAGAAACAAAATGTGTAATTATTTCCAGTACAACGGAGTTTTTGGAATTCGAGTTTGAGCTGGGACTTCACACCAAGGTATACAAACTAAGTTTGTGTGATATCTATCTGTCTTGTCTTGCTGTTTTTGGACAATAAAACTGCTGAACTGACCGGGCCCAATATATTTGTTGTGCCAACTTACATGACTTTTTGCCTGAAAAAAAAGTAAACATTTTTTATTTGAATTATGGCAAAAACAACATTTAAAACGCTCAAATTGGTATTATGAATTTAGAACATGTTGTGAAGCACCCAAAAGTATAGTTTAGTAAAGATACTATTATGTAGTTTATGTGTCCAGTATTGAAGAAGCCTATGGATATACTAGTAACTGCTAGAGGGAAAAATAAGTTCATTGCTCTCTCTTCGGTTGATAATCCAGGTTCAGGGGTCAGGTACATGTTTTATCATTTAAATGACACAAACAAAATTCAACGTTTTGATGTTATGAATTCTGAATACTGAAAACGGGCTAATTTAGAGAACAGCTGCATCCTAAATTCTTTTCCGTTTAAAAGATGTTGAATGTCTTATAATATGCGTGGAACAAAGTTATTTGATAACAATTTAATTGCTAGTTTTGCAAGATTATAAAACACCTGACAAGTGCAATTCTTTCCTCCGTAATTTACATTTGTATACCTTGCAAGTGTGAAAAGTTAAGTGTAAGAATCCTTACAGCTCGGTTTGCTTTTCTTATATACGGAAGTTTCTTCTGTATTATGTTTATCTATTTAGAATTTTGTATGTTTCATCAGGGCTAAATTTATAACGGTCTCAGATCTTTTAGTACAGACCTAATTGTAAGAATAATTTATTCACTTTCTAAATTTAAATATCGAAATACAATATCATTATTATCATTATCATTAATATGATCAATCATCCAGCATACAGTCGGCTGGTTATATTGTCAAAATAAAATCTAAAATAAAACTTTAAACAACACTGTTTAGAACTCTAGTAGATGAGAGGACATTTAACGAGAATGGAATGAGTCAGAAACTCAGGATAAAAGAACTTCCAGACTTCGTCTGTAATATGGAGTGGGCTAGAGTACAGAAACCTATTATCATCTAGTCTAATCAATATGATATTTTAACATGCATTTACCAGATTTAGTGAGGAAAATAAAAGTGATATAATCTTGTTATTGGATATATTTCCTTTGCTTTCTTCTGATACTGATACACGGTTTGTGTAATTGGAACAGTTTCAGACCTACGAATAAACTGATAATTAATACAAGTAATATATATCCTCCACGTGGAAATATATAGCTGTAGAAACTGATATTCTTCTAATATTTAGATTTTACCTTTTCTTCCGAGATTGTAAGTTTATGATTTCCAGATGCTTGTTCAGCAAACATTCTAAACAGACAGTTTTTATAACTTATCTTTGCCAAACCATGGGTCATGGGGTCATGTGCTTTTATAATAGATAAAACAGCTAAGTCAGATTCGGAAATTATAGAAAAGTATTTAAATATGTACAGAATGTTGAGCTATAGTTCTATATTGTGCAGCATAGATTAATAGATTAATAATAGATTATTAATAATCTATGCACCAGTGATTATGCTTAAACTACTGTTTAGTATTAATTAAGTCAGACCTCAGGCACATTTTTGATTACTTGATTTTTTTTAACTCTACTGAAAACCAAGGAGGGGTTTAGAAAACTCATTCTAAGTTGGAATCATTTCATCTCTAAACATGATATGAAAATTATTTTAACTCCTAAATAAATCTAGGTGTTTAACTTCTCTTCAGCAACTAAATTCCAATGGATTAAAAATCCCCATTTGAGAGAGATAAAAACCACTCGCCTCAAACTCAAACGTTTTCTGTTCTGATATCTTTAAAGCCTGATGTTGTAGACATTTGGCATATCCAACTATAGATTCTTGATAAATTTGATAGTCAAAGTTTGAAAGTTTGTTATAAGGTTTCCACCATCAGGATGTAAAGATATAGAATCAGAAAAGTATGGTTTGGCAGCAAGTGTTCAGTTCCTTTATAATTTATCTTTGAAACTCTTTTTGCAAAATAATAGTTATATTTATTCTAGTTACAATATTGAATTCTTTGCTTACCAATATTATTCTCAACCTTATTCAGCATATCATTTAACCCATCTAGATATTTATACAAATACGATCAACCAATTTAGGATATTTATACAAATACGATCAACCCATCTAGATATTTATACATTACAAATACGATCAACCCATTTAGGGTATTTATACAAATACGATCAACCCATCTAGATATTTATACAAATACGATCAACCCATCTAGATATTTATACAAATACGATCAACCCATCTAGATATTTATACAAATACATTCAACCCATCTAGATATTTATACAAATACGATCAACCCATCTAGATATTTATACAAATACATTCAACCCATCTAGATATTTATACAAATATGATCAACCCATCTAGATATTTATACATATACATTCAACCCAACTAGATATTTATACAAATACGATCAATCCATCTAGATATTTATACAAATACATTCAACCCATCTAGATATTTATACAAATACGATCAACCCATCTAGATATTTATACAAATATTCAATCATCCCTTCTAGATATGTATACAAATACAATCAACCCATCTAAATATTTATAAATACGATCAACCCTTCTAGATATTTATACAAATACATTCAACCCATCTAGATATTTATACAAAAACGATCAACCCATCTAGATATTTATACAAATACGATCAACCCATCTAGATATTTATACAAAAACGATCAACCCATCTAGATATTTATACAAATACGATCAACCCATCTAGATATTTATACAAATATTCAATCATCCCTTCTAGATATTTATACAAATACAATCACCCCATCTATATATTTATACAAAAACGATCAACCCATCTAGATATTTATACAAATACATTCAACCCATCTAGATATTTATACAAATACATTCAACCCATCTAGATATTTTTACAAATACATTCAACCCATCTAGATATTTATACAAATACATTCAACCCATCTAGATATTTATACAAATACGATCAACCCATCTAGATATTTATACAAATACGATCAACCCATCTAGATATTTATCCAAATATTCAATCATCCCTTCTAGATATTTATACAATACAATGATCCCATCTAGATATTTATAAAAATACAATTTGAATTTTTGTTAAATGGGATTGTCAAACCCCAATCGAAAATAGAATCTATAATGTTAAGTTTTATTTCACTGACAAGGAAAAACACATGTTTATTAAAAATGAAATAAATTATGAGTGTTTTTTCAATTTCGATTCATAATGTAAACATTTTATAGATTTGTAACGTTATAAAAATATTTATTTATCTTCATTTAATCCTTTGATTTAACATGTTGATAATTTTAAAGCTTTGATTTGGAAATTTAAATAGTTGATATTTCATAAAGCTAAGATGGTTATTTAATAGTTTCTCATTTATACTGGGTGAGTAAAAAAACAGGATCAGCGTTGTTTAACAAAAAACACTTGAAGGAATCATATTTTAGGTGAAAACATATAAAAACAAAGTAGAACAAATATAAAAATATCCGCAAAACTATTTTAAGAAAATACTTGTTTTATTACATTCATAATCCTTTAAGTTTAAAAAAATTAGTTATAAAAAATAGTTATTACAAAAAATCATCGAAAAATATCAGTGCTTTCTTAATCCTAAAGTCTGCACGTTTAATGATAAGATATATGCAAGCATAAGTAGTATCATGCACCGTTACGTTTATAACTATTTTTTTATATGGGTCTTTTTAAGTTTTTAGTTCAACTTTTATTTGTATTTTTTATTTGTATTCCTGTCTGATGGATGATGTTTGCTAGAAGCAGGTTCACTGAGATTATAAACACAACTGTAGACAATCCTGTACCAGAACCCATTATTATTTAATCGATAAAATATTTCACATTTTTTTTAACGATTATCTTAGTCAATCTGCAACCAAGAATTTTTATAAATAAATGTCAAGTCATATTACAATCCTAATTCAAGCAATATGGATTTATATTTTAAGTCCTGAAGGGACTGTAAGCGTAATTTGAACTGACCCTCTCTATTCAAAGATTGCATTGTCTGATTTACAACGGTACCCTTAAATGCTTTGTCCGATCAAGCATGATTTAGATATCAATCTTTATCATGTTGAAAATTAATTATTTTTAGTTTCTGTACAACAGTAACTTGCGAATTTCTTCTTTTGGAAAGCATAATGAGAATAAAACACTTTTACAGCTAGAAAAATGATCTAATAAAGATTTCAAGGGTACCGTTGTAAATCGGACATTGCATTCTGTGCACGGAGAATCACCAAAATTTAAGCGTACAGATTCTGTAAGTATACTCTGAAGTAAGTAAACTCTGAAGCAAGTATACTCTGAAGCAAGTATACTCTGAAGCAAGTATACTCTGAAGCAAGTATAGTCTGAAGCAAGTATACTCTAAAGCAAGTATACTCTGAAGCAACAATACTCTGAAGCAAGTATACTCTGAAGCAAGTATACTCTGAAGGAAGTATACTCTGAAGCAAGTATACTCTGAAGCAAGTATACCCTGAAGCAAGTATACTCTGAAGCAAGTATACTCTGAAGCAGGTATACTATGAAGCAAGTATACTCTGAAGCAAGTATACTCTGAAGCAGGTATACTCTGAAGCAAGTATACTCTGAAGCAAGTATACTCTAAAGCAAGTATACTCTGAAGCAACAATACTCTGAAGCAAGTATACTCTGAAGCAAGTATACTCTGAAGCAAGTATACTCTGAAGCAAGTATACTCTGAAGCAAGTATACTCTGAAGCAAGTATAACCATGTGAAAAAAATCATATCATCTAACTGCACACAGTTACATTTCACAATATAAACTACACAGCACACACATTCCATCAGGTAGAAATACAACGGTATTCAATACTTTACTGTATTTGGTACTTCAAACCCTTACATGCTTTATACGGACTTTAAACAGAGACAATTCCATACTATAGAGCTTAAACAACCCACTTAATGGTATAGATACAGTTATGATATCCATATGTTTATTTTGTTTAGATGTATCTGGAATCTCCTCAAAAGTAAAATTGAACTGGAAAAATTTGAAAATGTTTATCAATTGCATCTATTTATTTATAAAATAAAGCTCTTTGCTCATCTAGATATATATTTATATGTTAGATCCCAACGGCTGAACCACATTGGCTGACTGTTTTAAGGGAACCATTGGAATTGTTTGAAAATCCACGGGGTACGCAGGGCAATTCAGGAATAATCATACTATAATATGAAGCGCGGGTAAACGGAGAGTAACATGTATGATAATTTAAATCTGGGCAATGCCGGGCACTCAAGCCTAAAGAAGTAATCTCTGTTTCGGTGCCTTTCTGTATTTATGTCTGATCATAACCCAGGAACCCCTTGACCGGTTTGCCTCAATTTTTTTATTTGGGAGCCCGGTAGAACCACGGGAAATGTTCTGAAATCTGACCTAGGTTATAGGAAAGCTATAAATTAAGTAGGTTACATTTATAGGGAAATCTGGGTCTCCAAGCTATATATACATATATGAGTTAAAAATATAAAACTTTTAAGTCTGTAAAAAACAACACACTTAACTTGGAATTGGTTAGCCATGAAAATGCTCTTAGTTTATTTTAAAAATCCCAGTTGAGTAGGTTGAGTAGGTTGAGTAGGTTGAGTAGGTTGAGTAGGTTGAGTAGGTTGAGTAGGTTGAGTAGGTTGAGTAGGTTGAGTAGGTTGAGTAGGTTGAGTAGGTTGAGTAGGTTGAGTAGGTTGAGTAGGTTGAGTAGGTTGAGTAGGTTGTCTTTTAAAGGGAAAACTTGGTTTTGTAGGCAAAGCTGAGTTTTATATATAGTCTTTTTTTTCTATTTGATATCTCTGTAATGAATTTTAATAATATTCAATATCGACTATTTTTACATAATGCAATTGAATCTTTACTCAAAACTTAAATTTTCTAACCGTGGTGTAAACCTTTAATACTTTAAACTTAGATTACTAGATCTTATATAATTCATAGTTTGAAATATCTAAGGTCTACGACATTGGGTTGTAAAGATATAGAAAATTAGAGTTTGTGGGAAGACTTAACCCTATTCCGGTGGGGGGGAGGGGTCTCTGGAACCCCCCTCTGACGTGTTTTGGAGATACCACAAATTTTTTTTGACTTTTCTAACTAACACAAGCACCTCACTTCAGGCCCAAAGCGGGGCTTTAATATCTGGCAGTTTGCATTCAGGCAAACTGTCTGAATGCCTTATTTTACCTTTAGCTGACTAAATCTATATTTATACCTTCTTCCGATCATTGGATTTTGACTTTGTATAGCTTTTTAGAAAGCCTTGAACAAAAGAAAGCAGATTACACAATTTTTTCGTAACTTTGCACAGATGACTTTAAATAGAATTTGCATATTTTCAGTTTTCCTTGAATCAAAATTTTGTTTGTCAAATTTTGTGAAATATTTTTGTATATTTGAATTCGCCGTGGTAAGGGCTTTTCAAAAATGTATAATTCATCATATTTTGCGCACTTTTTGTTTTTGCTAATTTTTTGCTGAATAACTCGAAATTGCAATAAATATTTGAAATTTTTTTTGCAGGATACTAAACTAGAGCCCAAGGGCTTTCCAAAAGTGTATCAAATGTTTTAGATTTGTATCACAATAAAGAAATAGAGGAGGGGGTCCCTGGGACCCCCTCCCCACCCCAGACTAGTTTGGGTAAACCAGACGGCAGCCTCAATAGGGTTAAGTCCTAAAACTAATGTAAATTAAAACTTCACCAATAACTTATAAATGTATATATTTGTAATCGAAGGAATCTTTTTAATCATAATAACAGAAGACTTATAGATTTTACTTGTGAAAACAATTCTCCAGAATAAAAAAAACTGAAAGAAAAAAGATATTTAGTTCTTTAGATCGAGTTATCAAGAATTGTTATTAAATTAGTAAGACATTTTCAAGAACTACACCTCAATTAATTTAAGAATATTTCTACAAATAATGTTTCTTTAAAATATACCTGTTTCAAGTTTCAGTGTTAACGTTAAAAATTAAATTTAACCTTTTTATACCTAATCTATAACGAGAGAGAATTATAGAAGCCAAGTTATTAAAATAGATTTTAAAAATAGTAAATTAAATATTTACGATTAATGAAAATTCCCCTGAACTGAACCATGCTAGAAATGTTCATCCACCCCTGAACCCTGCTAGAAATGCCCATCCACCCATGAACCCTGCTAGAAATGTTCATCTACCCATGAACCCTACTAGAAATGTTCATCTACCCCTGAACCCTGCTATAAATGCCCATCCACCCATGAACCCTGCTAGAAATTTTCATCTACCCATGAACCCTACTAGAAATGTTCATCTACCCCTGAACCCTGCTAGAAATGCCCATCCACCCATGAACCCTGCTAGAAATGTTCATCTACCCCTGAACCCTACTAGAAATGTTCATCTACCCCTGAACCCTGCTAGAAATACCCATCCACCCATGAACCCTGCTAGAAATGTTAACTACCCCATTAAACCTGCTAGAAATGTTCATAATTACACATGAACCCTGCCAGAATTGTCCATCTACACATGAACCCTGCTGGAAATGTCCATCTACCCCTGAACCCTGCTAGAAATATTCATCTACCCCTGAACCCTGCTAGAAATGCCCCTCCACCCATGAACCCTGCTAGAAATGTTCAGCTACCCCTGAACCCTGCTAGAAATGTTCATCTACCCCATTAAACCTGCTAGAAATGTTCATCTACACATGAACCCTGCTAGAATTGTCCATCTACACATGAACCCTGCTAGAAATGTTTATCTACCCATGAACCCTGCTAGAAATATCCATCTACACATGAACCCTGCTAGAAATGTGCATACACATGAACCCTTCTAGAAATGTCCATCCACCCATGAACCCTGCTAGAAATATCCATCCACCCATGAACCCTTCTAGAAATGTCCATCTACCCATGAACCCTGCTAGAAATGTCCATCTACCCATGAATCCTGCTTGGTAAAGAAGTTATGATATGTCTGATGTAAAGGCCTATTCTGACCCCCCGCCTGCCGTGTCTGGTCTACCCTAAAGTGGGCCTATATCTGGGTAAGTTGAGTATAGAGGGCCTTTTTAGGGACTCCATCCCACCATCAGTATTCTTCGACACACATTACTGAACACAGGTGAGCTTTCTGCTTAACATTTATACCATCATCTTCAAACCACGTTTATTTACATAAATGACTACAAAACTCTAACATGATTTTTTTAAGATTTGAAAGGATGCCGGCTCCCAAAGTACGAAGCACTGTTGAACAGGTTGGATGATTTCCCTGTGATTTCTCGCAAGTCACGCTGTTATAGATATAATCAACACTTTAGCAGATATTTAGCAGATATTTAGCAGATATTTAGCAGATATTTAGCAGATATTTAGCAGATATTTAGCATATATTTAGCAGATATTTAGCAGATATTTAGCAGATATTTAGCAGATATTTAGCAGATATTTAGCAGATATTTAGCAGATATTTAGCAGATATTTAGCAGATATTTAGCAGATATTTAGCAGATATTTAGCAGATATTTAGCAGATATTTAGCAGATATTTAGCAGATATTTAGCAGATATTTAGCAGATATTTAGCAGATATTTAGCAGATATTTAGCAGATATTTAGCAGATATTTAGCAGATATTTAGCAGATATTTAGNTAAATATACAACAGTTAAATATACAACAGTTAAATATACAACAGTTAAATATACAACAGTTAAATATACAACAGTTAAATATTTATTTAAGAAAGATATTAAAATGTATAATTTGTTGCAATTTATGCGCATTTTTTCGCACATTTTTTGCTAAATAACTAGATTTCGCAATAAATATCGCACAAGTGCTTTCCAAAAACGTATCAAATGTTTTAGATTTAGTTTAGAGGGGGGTCAATTTGACGTAGGTAGTAAACCAGGTGTCAGGCAAAATGGGGGCAACACATTATATAATAAGACGCCATAAATGGGCCTATTTAAGGTGCTATAAATGTAATTTGAAGTGAGAAAAAATTACGCACAATTTCTGTTGTGCCGAGCTGGGAACTTTAGAATGGATTAACCTTTAATCTCGACTGCTTAATCCGAATATCCACTGTGGAAACTTTTTAGTTTAGTCCTTAATCTACTCTTTTTCTCTCTCTTTGGATATCCGTACATTGGTTTCTTCAATGCGAGTTCAGGAATATAGTTCTTAAATTGTATTGACCAATGACAGCCTTGAAAATAAATTCTATCAAATTTTGACCTGGGAACTTAAGAATGGTGGATATCGAGATCAATGCTTGATCCTCTCTTTTTCTTAATCTTGAGACTAGCATATAATCTTTTACTTATATCTTGAAAAGTGTATCAGAAGCCATGAACTTTAAAATTTTGCGCGACATTTAAGTTCAATAAACAGAATTCAAATCCAAAAAAGAGTGGATTAAGCAAGAAATTAAAAGTATCCCGTTTTAAAGTTCCCAGCTCGGGCTATTAATCACTTAAAAAATATTTGCTATTTTGCCAGTTATCAAGTTCAAGGGTCATATGTCGTTCTAGCTGTTATCTTTCGGAGACAAGGAACAAACACAAATTGAAGGATGTTTTCAGTTGACTGTTCTAATGTAAATAAAATAATACAAGATGACGTGTGTAAAAGCTAGTTGTTTACACTGTATAAAAATCAATATTAGAAAAAATGGCGTTGCAAGAAAATCTTTAAAGAGAGGTAATTATCTGTTAGCAGTATAAAGATGTAGTGCCATTAAGTAAAATTAAAAATTAGGAAATCTTTTAGTTATTCATTAATAAACTGTTCGACCTACAGTGATAACCAGAAAACTCTGAGATAAATCTTAAGTCTTCAGGTCGTCTTCCCATTTCTCTGATTATTATTGTATCAAATTGAGCAATGATATAAGTTCTACCCTGGGAAAACTTTAAAAAATGCTTTATAAATGATAAAAGTAAATCATAGTTCTTTAAAACTTTAATAGAATCTCATAAATATTTTATAAAATCTAAATAAGCGCTAATCTACTTGACTAATAATCGACAAAAGGAGGTGCTCTTATTTTTTATCTTAAACTCCTTTCTTTTGAAATCACCGAAAAAAAGCATCCAAATATATTATTGCAAACATGGTGTTTGTCAAATGTAAATGTTCATATATGATTTCCAAAAATAAATAATAAACATATAATACAACAGCCAATTACACGCGTTTATCTAAAAGAAATATGTATATAAGCTCAATTTTGCAGCAGTCTTCCTTGATAAGATATAAGTTTAAAGCGTACTGTTGTGAATTGAACACGCATATTTGTACAGGATGATGGGAGAAAGAAAAGTTTAAAAGAGCAACCGAGTTATCTGAAGGAGGTCGGAGTTGCACTCACTAGAAGAGAAGAACTTCTTAAACTTAAGGTATTATTGGAATCTTACTTATTGCAGGCACAATTGGTAATTTAGTGAGGCCTCCCCCCCCCCCTAACTGAATTGTTGTGTCGTAGTACTAAATAGTTGTTGTTGTTGTTGTTGGTGGCAGTAGTGTTCTTGTTGTTGTTTTTGTTGTTGTTGTTGTTGTTGTTGGTGGTGGTGGTGGTGGTAGTGTTGTTGTTGTTGTTGTTGTTGTTGTTGTTGTTATTGGTAATTTTGTTGTTGTTGTTTTTGTTGTTGTCGTTATTTCTGTTATTGGTGGTGGTGATGGTAGTGTTGTTGGTGTTAAAAGATATCTGAATCCCAACATTTGTCGTAGACAAAATCATGTCATTTTTTCATTAATCCCTGTTTGACCCAAAAGCCGATAATTTTTAACCCCCCTTCTATATATTTGCGCCTCCGACTCATTAACACTTATCTAACTATTTATAATCATAACATTCTCATTGATATAAAATAAATCTCAATTTTTGATGGGATACAATTGTTTTTAATTATTAGTAAATTATTTTTGCAAGAAAAAAATGAGTTTTTCATAAATTATTAAGGTATTCATTTTCATGAATGAATGAAAAAATAACACCTTTGCAAGTTTGCATATCTATATTTTTCAATGTTTTTATTCATAAATATAGTAAAAGTATTTATCATATAAATACTATTTATAATTGATCCATGAAAGGAGAAAATAAAGAGCTATATGACGAAAGTCTTAAAAAAGTTTCCAATTTCAATTTCTCTATGTTTAGTATTAGTAATGCCTTGCAAATTTAGAAATTTATAAGTTTTCAATTGAGAAAACGACGATATTTTTCTATTTGTTACTTAGATAAAGGTTTAAGTACTCAATGATAATCAATTTTATTTGTTCCATTAAAAGAAGGATCGAGAGATTAAGCAGTAGTAAAATATTGACCCATCTAATCTAATCTATTAAAAGAGGTTTAGCAGTACTAAGTACAAACCCATATAATCTAATCTATTAGAAGGAGAGATTAAGCAGCAGTAATATACTGACCCATCTAATCATATCTATTAGAAGAAGAGATTAAGCAGTAGTTAGATACTGACCCATCTAATCTATTTAATTTAAAGAAGAGATTAAGCAGTAGTAAGATACTGACCCATCTAATCCAATCTATTAATAGGAGAGATTAAGCAGTAGTAAGATACTGACCCATCCAATCTAATCTATTAAAAGGAGAAATTAAGCAGTAGTAAGATACTGACAAATCTAATTTAATGTATGTAAACGAGAGATTAAGTAGTAGTAAGATACTGACCCATCTAATTTATTTTATTTCAAGGAGAGATTAAGCAGCAGTAATATACTGACCCATCTAATCTAATCTATTAAATGGAGAGATTAAGCAGTAGTAAGATACTGACCCATTTAATCTAATCTTTTAAAAGGAGAGATTAAGCAGTAGTAAGATACTGACCCATCTAATCTAATCTATTAAAAGGAGAGATTAAGCAGTAGTAAGATATTGATCCATCTAATCTAATCTATTAAAAGGAGAGATTAAGCAGTAGTAAGATACTGATCCATCTAATTTAATTTATCTAAAGGAGAGATAAAATAGTAGTAAGTTCAAACCCATATAATCTAATCTATTAAAAGGAGAGATTAAGTAGTAGTAAGATATTGACCCATCTAATCTAATCTTTTAAAAGGAGAGATTAAGCAGTAGTAAGATACTGACCCATCTAATCTAATCTATTAAAAGGAGAGATTAAGCAGTAGTAAGATATTGATCCATCTAATCTAATCTACTAAAAGGAGAAATTAAGCAGTAGTAAGATACTGACAAATCTAATTTATTGTATGTAAACGATAGATTAAGTAGTAGTAAGATACTGATCCAATCTATTAAAAGGAGAGATTAAGCAGTAGTAAGATACTGACTCATCTAATCTAATCTATTAAAAGGAGAGATTAAGCAGTAGTAAGATACTGACCCATCTAATCTAAATTACTTAAAGGAGAGATTAAGTAGTAGTAAGCTACTACTCAGTGCTGACCCATCCAGCAAGCCCTGGTTACTCGCTAGGCAGATTTCGGCGGCTAAAATACAGGTTATTCTTTACAAACTTGAAAATAACTTTGATAAAGATAATTATTTAAATAAAAACTTTTAAATTAATTTTTCAACATTTACAGGAATAGTTACCATTTAAAAACTAGATTAGTTTGGGGAAAAAACGTACAAAAATAAGGGGTAGAATTTACAAAAAATACTGACAAACACTGACAGTTTGGGGATAAAATATACAAAGATGCCAACCAAAATTTAACACGGTTTAGCTTTAAACATAAAAAAGATGAATATCGTGCACTGTCCCTTCTGGACAATAACTCATTAACAGATAAAAACAGTTCCAACTGATCAATCAAATTTAAAACAGATTTCAAATTATATATTTTCAGCCCCGCCCTGGCTCAGAGGAGAGGTCAGATTCAGACACGCCCTCCGAGTAAACAAGGACACCAATTCGAGTCCGCCAACTTTCAATTCGAACATATGTCGAACATCAATTCGAATTTGTCAACCTTTAATTCAAATTTTTCGAATACGTAAAAATAGAATTCAATGCTCTTGAATTGACCCTACATTCAAAGTTTACATGTCTGATTCACAATGGTATTTTTTATGGTTTTTCTAAAAATTTATTTATTTTGAATCTTTATCAACGTTACTTTTTTAGAATGTATTAGTACCAAATTTAAATATTAAATTTAAATTTTGATTTTTTTTCAACTTTAGCTATTAAGAAGCTATTTCTAAAATTTTAGACCTTTCAATTTCAGTACAAAAAAAATCTAAAAACTTTAATCTCTCTTTATTTTTACCACCTTGTGTTTCAAACATTTGCAAAGTATTTATCATTGTTTAAACGCAGATAAAACGAGTTTCTTTGCAGTTTTTAAATTGAATTTGCACGCAAGATGTGCGAATCTGGAACCCATGTAACACCCACATACACTTATATATCATTACATTAGACTGGACTGGTGATAAAAATAGATTGAGATAAGATCAGTCTAATAATTTTATTGAATCCTTTTCTATTAAATATCTATCATTAAAGACTGCCGAAATCAAAATTAACACTATTTTTGCATTTTTAAAATACTAGAAATTCAAGGCGCTTCGCGCCCTTCTTTCTAGCCTTAGAGGGCGCTTCGCGCCCATCTCCTAAATTAATCGTGAACATGTTCTTTTTGTGTTCATCGTAAAACAAAACAAAAATAATTCGCGGATTTTCACAAAAAATTTCGCGGATTTTCAAAAATGACGATCGAATTTTGATGGAGACAAATATTTGAAATTTTGATGATTCATAAACCTTCCCTGGAGTCCCTAGATGTCCCACAAAAAATTTGGGCCCGATCGGTTCAGCCGTTTTGACGTTTATTGGATACAAACAAACAGACAGACAGACAGACAGACAGACAGACAAGCCAAATTTATATATAGAAGGAAATGTATAAAATAATGAGTTTTTTTGTAAAGATAACGATATTAGGACTTTTTTAACAGAAAAAAGAATATCTATAAAATATTATTTTTGTGTTTTTCAAATAAAATTTTATGTAGCAAGCATTTACAAAAGTTTATACAAAGAATGAAAATTTGAGAAATTGTATTCTATATTTTGAGAACAAATTATTTTCAAGTATTCCGAAAAATTTTAAATTGAAAAATATTTTCCTTAAAATTAAATTTAGTACTTGACTGTAAAGTTTTATTTGAAATAACTTTTAAATTGTTTACTATTTAGTATTAACATGATAAAGAATAAAAAATGTTTAAATAATATATTCATATATCGTAAGAATATGCATCAATTGTACATGGTACACTAATCTAATAACTCGATCAATAAATTAAATTAAAATATTAAAATGTCGAGGAATATTAATTTATAGGGAAGAAATGGATGGAATGCATCTAGTAAATGCCGTACTCAATGTACAACGCAGTTTATATAACTGCATTTATTACATGCACTCCTGATTAGGGACAATTTGTGAAGGAATTTAGAAGAAAACTGAACTGCCATTATATAAAAACATGTAATTTTCTAGAATTTCGAATTTGGCCACCATTCGATTTAATTCATGTCATATCCATTTAGGGAATTGATACTTTGTGATTCAATGGCAAGGTTATTTTACAGTACAAACGTGCTAATGTTATATTTAAAAGTGTTTTATTGCTTGTAGTCCGAAAGTGGTTCTTTACCCCTATCAAATCACAAAAAGGAATTGATTTCGAAGAGGTGTGAGACAAAAATTCGACGTTCTTTCCCTAAAATTCCGACGTGCCCAAGAAATTATACCACTTCAGGGGACGCAAGTACCAACCTGTGATTTGGACCAGGCCTGACACTGATTGTCAGGTTTGGGCCAAATGTTATCTTTTTTAACTTCTGATATTTTTTGGCCTCCTGTATATCTTTATTAAAAAACGCGGAACATTTTGTATCCCCCTGGATTTTTTTACATTGTAATTGATAATTTTATGTCAAAACCTTGGGCAACTGGGGGAGGGGGGATAGGAGATGGAAAATGGTTAACAAGATTGAAATTTTTCAAAAAGGATTCAATTTGAGAGAAAAAGAGAAAAGGGAAATATTTTGTTTATCTATTCTTAAAATTCAAAAGGCTCTCTTTTCTTGCGCTTATAATTTTACGTCTCCCCATTTTCCAGGAAGGACGTCTCCCTTCCCCCCTTTCAGCCTCCTGTATCTGTTTTAAGAAGATACACCCTGTATCTGTACTGGTAAGAAGATGTGTGGGAGAACAGGACTGATAATTATCTAGACCCCAGACATGACCAGGGGCCCATGTTCATCATGTTTTACGCAACTCTGGGAAAGTGTGTAATGTTGGGCAGTCATAAATAGGAGTTTTAGATACACGAAATGAGTCCAGGATCTGAATCAACCACAGATACGTGACTAGTTTTCATTACATCTATACATCCATCTAGCCGTAATCTCTTTTTTTTGTCTGTTTGTACATACGTCTATTAGAGATCAGGGTTTGTTTTAAGCTTAGTTAAAAAATTTCTAAGTTGAGTAGGAAAATCTGGTTTCCAGGCAAGGCACCCAGCTAATCTAAATTTTAAGCAGTATTTTTTTGTTTGGTTTGTTTTATGTCTAATATTGGAGAACTTGGTGGAACCACGTTCAGTTTGATCAAACAGAGTCTGAATTTAAGTAGTTTAACATTTATATGTAACTATATAGATCATTCCACCTAATGTTCTTTATAGAAGGAACCAAATCAGAAATAAAATATGAGGTTGAAAGCTTTGATTTGAAAATTTATTAAAAACAGTTTCATTTTACATATAATATAAAACTTTAAAGATTTGTTAAAAGGAATTGAGTTTTAAACACAAATTTTCTTTTTTCCTTACATTTTCCCAACCTAGTGGGGTAAACCTATGGTATTTCAAACTTAGATTATTTAATTAAGCAGAATTTATAGTTTGAAATGTCTAAGGTTTACGACTTTGGGTTGCAAAGAAATATGGATTATAAAATCATATTTTGTGACAAAGACTCAATTCCTTTCTGAACTACTTTGATATTAATTAGAACAGTTTTGAAGGTATCTCTGGTACATACTGGTCCAAAATATCTTGAAGAATATCCCTCAAAGGTCCCTCAATGATGTCAGCAAGCCAACCCTAAAAAATTTAAAATCTAAAACCAAGAAAATTAATCTTAGTTTTGATTATTTTGTTTTAATTAAAATCAAATTATATATTAACTATATTTGGTATTTGAAGATTGAGGCTCTAAATAAATTCCTATAAGTACGTGTACTGTCCAGTGTTTACGTAATTTCAAGTTTCCTTCCATTTAGACGTGTACTGTCAAGCTGTTTACCTAATTTCAAGTTTCCTTCCATTTAGACGTGTACTGTCAAGTTGTTTACGTAATTTCAATTTTCCTGCCATTTAGACATGTACTGTCAAGTTGTTTACGTAATTTCAAGTTTCCTTCCATTTAGATATGTACTGTCAAGTTGTTTACGTAATTTCAAGTTTCCCTCCATTTATACGTGTACTGCCAAGTTGTTTACGTAATTTCAAGTTTCCTTCCATTTAGACGTGTACTGTCAAGTTGTTTACGTAATTTCAAGTTTCCTTCCATTTAGACGTGTACTGTCAAGTTGTTTACGTAATTTCAAGTTTTCCTCCATTTAGACGTGTACTGTCAAGTTGTTTACGTAATTTCAAGTTTCCCTCCATTTAGACGTGTACTGTCAAGTTGTCTACATAATTTCAAGTTTCCTGCCATTATAAAGGCTAATCATGGATGGATGGGATATCGTAGTTTTTCTATTTTAAAATAAATAACTTAAAATAGTGATCTGCCAATTTATACAGCAAAGACAGAGAATATAAAACAAGAGAATTTTACTTTTTAAAAAACGATATCTTTCTCATTTTTGCTCAGATTAAGGCGGATATTAACCTCTAATTTGGAGTAACTTGAAAAAACGTAGACAGTCCCTTTAAAGGGATTTTACAGATAACCCCTTTAAAACTTTACCCGGATTGAGTTTCCGATCCCTTCGACAAGTAGCTCCAGAATCCAATCCAGGGGTCCTAGTCCACTCACGTTTATATCAATGTGTCCGATATTTGTTATCTAGAAGATAAAACAGGTTTTCTTTATCTTTGTTTTACTTTATTTTGTACCTCTACAGAAACAAACAAATAACAATTAAGAAAATAGATCTTTTATTTGAGAAAATACAATTTGTTAAATAAAATACCGTTAAAAACTTTAAAATGTACTTGGTCTCTTTTCCTGAGATTAAAAAAAAACATATTTGTATGTCCTATATTTTAATATTCCTCTATTCTATTATTAAAAAATGCGCAATTTATTCTATTCTATCATATAAAACGTGAAAATCAAATTATATTTTAATTCTTGATAAAAATATTTGGAAATGATACTGAGGACGTTTTCTAATATTAATCCTATTCAGGTTAAAACGCTTTTTAGGGTAAAATGTTTCACCAACGACCCTCTTCCCTCCACAAAATGTTTCACCAACGACCCCGTTCCCTCCACAAAAAGTCATCACTTTTAACTCGTTTAAGAACATTAATAACGAGTTGAAAACAGAACAGGGGTGTACATTTTCTTGAATAATCAATGCTTCCTCCCCACTCTTTGACAATTATTTCTATTGCTTAGATCTAAATGAATTTTAGGTAAACAAAAAAATATTTTGAAGATGAAAGAAGAAGAAGATGAAAATGTCTTTTTATATTAAGGTTTTCATTTTTCTCACGAGAGCTTCAAAAATCATCCTCGATGATATCAACCTCTGATTACTTTCCCTCAAGTTTAAAGTTAATAAATGCGTCTGATATTTGTTACCTTAAACCTAGCAATTTTGTTACCTCAAACCTAGCAATTTTGTTACCTCAAACCTAGCAATTTGAAGACTACTTCCTGGGGCAATAATCATCTCAGCATCAAAAAAGACCTAGTTTAGTTTTCAAATAATTTTTATTACAAACACTTTTTTGAATTTCTAAAAACAATCATAACTAATATAAAAACATCTTTTTAACATATCTCTATGGACATGAATTTACAATATATATATTTAAATAAAATTTTGCTTAAAATTTATATATGAATATCTTTTTTAAAATCTATACTTACATCAACTGAAGATATCTTTACTGTAGCAGAAGCTCCAACCTGTTGAAAATATTTCATTTTCATAGATTCAATTATTTTTATTAATTTCGTAGAAATGTCCTAAGAATTATTTTTTGATTAATTATAATATGGGAGTGACACATATAACTGTTATAAAGCAAATAAATAAGTTTTAAAACCCAGCTTTTGTTCCAAAGTTGCATGGGTTTTAATTATTATAAAAAAGAATAAATAGTTTTCTAAAATAAAAGAACATGATAAATGATAAAAAGAACGTGAGGGGAATTATAATTTTCTAATATTTGAAGCCCCAAAATTTTTTCTTTTTTAAGAAATAATTAACGGAAATTCAGAAGAAACAAATTTTTAGTTTTCTCTTGATATCTTTAGACTTCAGATTATCTATGCTTTCTAACCAAATAACAACATTAAACGATTTCTTCAATAATATAATTCTTTTTAAATAGATATAAGTTTCCAAATGGAATAAGCCAATGGAATTGAGTCTTATGTCACGATTTCAAATTTCCTAATCCATATTTCTTTGCAACCTGACCTAAAGGATTAAGCCTTTTAAATTATTTAAGCTTACATAAATTACAAGTTTGAAATATATAAGGTTTAAAGCAATGGGTTACAAAAATATATGGAATGAAAAATCAGAGTATATATATATATATCAGGGACTCAATTCCGCTATAAACAAAACAACCATGCAGAATCATTCTTCACTCTTTAAATAAAATATATATTTCCAAAATGTGGTCTGGCTATTTTGTTCGTTCAAAATCACAAGAATATGAATGATTTCATTCAAAATTTATAAAAAAATGTTTTATTAAATAAAAAAGAAATCTTGTCTAATCATAATCAAGTGTTGATTAATTCCGACCCTTTCTGGTTATGACTGTTTGTGAATAATAAAAAAAGGGATAGGTTAACCTTATTCCTGCTGTTAGTTGTAATATAATATAAACTAACCGTAATACCCATAAACTTGGCTTTTAAAGAGTAGTTGTAACATAATATAAACTAACCGTAATACCCATAAACTCGGCTTTTAAAGAGTAGTTGTAATATAATATAAACTAACCGTAATACCCATAAACTCGGCTTGTGCTTCATAGTGAGCAGAACAGTCGTTAAGTCCGAGGTTTGCTGGAAGTTAAGAAAAAAGATTGCATTTAATTATTGTTTAGACATGTTTGTTTTCATTGAATATATTTCTGCAATGGTTCAATCGAAAGAAATAGAATCTTCTGAGACAGGATATTAAATAAAATGTTATAATATCTTTTAATCAAAAAAGTGTATTTCTTGATGGAATTGGTTTGTAGTTACTCGACAAAAAAAACTATAATTTTGGATTTTATATATTTGCAACCTGATTGTGCAAAACTGTAATTTTTCAAACTTTGTTCTAGTGGATTACATAGTTTGAAATATAAAATTGTATGACATCAGGTGCAAAGTTATGAAGAATAGAAAAGTTTATTTTGGGGCAAGTTATTATCTTTATTAGTTTTATATCAAAGGTGTCCCACGAAACATGACAGTTGGTGAATAGTTTAAAATGTATTCTTCCATAGTTTGTTAGGTTGTTTTGTTGGATACCAAAGAGAATAATTAAAAAAATATGTCATGGAAGTCATATTATAGTAAAATGAATTTCAAAATAAAATATATTTGAGTAAAAGGTTTTTTAAAACTAAATAAAATGCAAAAAGTCTTTAACATCCAATACAGTATATGGAAGAAGACATTCAAAACTATTCACCAACTGCCATGTTTCGTGGGACACCTTTTATATAAAACTAATAAAGATAATAACTTGCCCCAAAATAAATTTTTCTATTCTTCATATCTTTGCAAGGATAAATTATATAAATTTTATGAGATTATTGTTTTCTTTTCTGAACCTTAAAAAAAGGTTATACATGAACCAGCTTGGGAACCCAGATTTGCCTTGAGACAAAAAGTTTTCTTTATGCGAGTCAACATATTCAAACCAAAAACTTTTAAACCTGGCGAACATTACCGTAGTTCTATTACATAGTTCCCCAGTCAAAATCGGAAGAAAATCGGTTCCTTAGCTCTGATCGATTTTAACAATCAAACAAATAGAGATTACTACTTTATATAAATATATTTACCAATGAGGTTTAATGTAGTTCCATCCAGTGTAAAATCAGTATTTCCTGCTCGGTGTATAGTAGATAACCCAGAGAACCGTCCGTTGTAAACCTAAATAAAAGATTGGATTTAAAAATTTAAGTTATTTTTGATTCTTCAAAATTATTATGAAAAGACACGAAAACAAGTCATTTTTTTATCTCGATAGAGGGACATCAGATAGAAATAAATCACAATCAACTCTTGAAGTGTTTAAGTTTCAGCTGGTACCCCCTTTAATTTTTCCTTAACAACTTAATTAATTAATTTCAAATTAAAACCTAATGGATTTGGAAAAATGGAAAATACAGATAAATATAATGATTCCATGCAAGGATTGAGAAACATGATGAAAATACTAAAATAATTCACCTTTGCAGAACCATGCCATGTGATCCCCAGAACAGTGTCACTGTAAAAAAACATTTATTCAAAATTTCGTTAAAAGGGATCAAGAAATATAGATGTTAAAGGGACTGTAAGCGTAATTTTAAGTTATCCTTAATTTGAAAATAACAAATCACAAAGGTACCTTTGAAGCCACTGTCTGATAAAGTAGGAATGAGACATAAATGTCTATCATTTTTAACCCTGTTCCTACTGGGGAGGGTCAATTTGACCCCCGCTCCTGTAGTTTTTTTTTACATAACTCAAAAAGTATTGATCTGAGGCTGTTGAATTTTTCTGACTTTTCCTACATACCCAAAGCCCTCCCTTTAGGCCTAAAACCGGGCTTTAATACTAACTGCCTGAGTCCTGAGTCACATTGCCTGAATTACTGCTTTTTCCTGTAGCAAATAAGGAAACGAATTGTACAAGTTTTGCGAAAAATAATTGCAAATTTTTTGCAAACAACCTGTCAAAGGAAATTTGCACATTTTTAGTTTTTTTTGATTAAAAATCAGGTTATTTAAATTTTGCAAAATTTTTTGCATATTTAAAATGGCATGGTCAAGGGCTTTTCAAAAATGTATAATTTTCAATTTTTTGGACGAATTTTTTTTGCAAACATTTACATTTACTATATAACTGGATTTTGCGATAAAAAATTCATTTTTTGCAAATTTGCAAATTTTTTTGCAGATTCTAAAAGTAGAGCACAAGAGCTTTCCAATGTAGCATTTGTCATATTTGGACATCAAATTGCCCCCCCCCCCCCAGCATTTCAAGTACCCTAGCAGACATAGGGTTAAAACTGGTTTTTTCAATTGTGGTTTCTCTACAAAAGAAACTGCAGGAAAACATATATATGCATTATCTGAAATTAACACTTTTCAAACTAGAAATTTCAACCAAATCTTTAACATTTTCACTCAGATAAAAGTATCAAGGGTACATCTTTACATGGAAGGAACTGAAATTTAGCTTACAGTCCCATTAAACATTATTATTATTGGAGTTAATTAAAATAGGATGTACGTTGCTCGTACATCCTCAACAAAGGAAATGAGTCTTTGTCACAAACTCTGATTTTCTAATCACTATATCTTTGGAACCAAATGTTGTAGACCTTTGATATTTCAAACTATGAATTCTGTTAAATCAAATAATCAGAGTTTGAAATATCAAAGGTTTACAACATCGGGTTCTAAAGATATTGTGGTTTAAATATTTGATTTTGTTACAAAGACTCAATTCCTTAGTTCAAACAATTTTCCTATAATTCTATTTAGTCTATGCAACCTTTGTTGCTCCCGAGCTGTGGATTATAAGTCCTTATAATGATTATATGACACGTCGGTTTCTTTACGTTCGGTTTCTATAATGTTTGACTCCGTTGGAAAAATTCATTTTTACATGTTGGACACGTTGAAATTAAAATCAAATTTTATCTTATGTTTCGAAATTAAGAAACTTATTTTTTGTTTAAATGTTCGGGATAAATTGTTGAATATTAAATGTCAGTAAAGAACTGATTATTTGTACATAAATAATTAATTGTCTAATCCATACTCTTGGATATTCTTAATTTTAAAATTTGCAAGACCAAATAGTTGATGTTTTAAATATTAGGCACCAAAGGAATTGAGTCTTTGCCACAAACTCTGATTTTCTAATCACTATATCTTTGGAACCAAATTTTGCATACCTTAGATATTTCAAACTATGAATTCTGTTAGATCAAATAATCTGAGTTTGAAATATCAAAGGTTTGAGTTCTAAAGATATTGTGGTTTAAATATTTGATTTTGTTCCAAAGACTCAATTCCTTTATAGCAAGATTATAACAGTAAAGTTCTGTTACGCGAGCCATGCTGCGTGAAGAAAGTCTGTTTGTCGCCCCTGC